CACATATATATACAGTACAGCCCCTCCTCCTGATGTCCCGCCTTCCACTCCTCATAGGATGGAACTTTCCCTCCAAACCCATGACAGACAGGTAACATCAGTGCTGTATGTAACACCTCCATCCATAGTTCTTCTTCTGTCCACCAAATCTAGTTCCTTAAATCTGTTCTTCACTTGCACTGTGTATTCATAAGGGATTTGGTTTAAAATTATACCTGCTAGCCCAGTGGTTTTTCCTACTTTCTTCAGTTTAAGCTTGAATTTTGCTATAAGAAGCCGATGATCAGAGCCACAATCAGCTCCAGGTCATGTTTTTGCTGGCTGTATAGAGCTTCTCCATCTTTGGCTGCTGAGAACATAATCAATCTGATTTTGTTATTGCCCATCTGGTGATGTCCATGTCTAGAGTTACCTCTTGTGTTGTTGAAAAAGAGTGTTTGTGATGACCAGCTTGTTCTCTTGACAAAACTCTCTTAGCCTTTGCCCTGATTCATTTTGAACTCCAAGGCCAAACTTACCTGTTGTTCCTTTTATCTCTTGACTCCGTACTTTAGCAATCCAGTCCCCTATCATTCCAATCCCCTATACAGTAATGAGAACATCTTTCTTTTGTGTCAGTTGTAGAAGGTGTTGTAAGTCTTCATAGAAATGGTCAGTTTCAGCCTCTTCAGCATTGGTGCTTGGTATATAAACTTGGATTACTGTGATGTTGAATGGTCTGCCTTGGATTTGTATTGAAATCTTTCTATCATTGTTGAGATTACCGTATATCCCGTTACAGCTTTTCCCACTCTTTTACTGACTATGAGGGCTATTCCATTCCTTCTACGGGATTCTTGCCCACAATAGTCGATATGATCGTCATCTGAATTGAATTCACCCATTCCCGTCCATTTTAGTTCACTGATGCCCAGGATGTCGATGTTTCTTCTTGCCATCTCCTCTTTGACCACCTCCAGCTTACCTAGGTTCATAGATCTCACTTTCTAGGTTCCTATGCTCTATTTTTCTTTGCAGCATTGGACTTTCATTTCCAGGCTCATCCACAGCTGAGCGTCCTTTTGGCTTTGTCCCAACCACTTCATTAGCTCTGGAGCTACTCATACTTGTCTTCCGCTCTTCCTCAGTAGCATGTAAGATGCCTTCCGACCTGAAGGGCTCATCTTCCAGCGTCATATCTTTTAGCCTTTTGTTTCCGTCCATGGAGTTTTCTTGGCAAAGATACTAGAGTGGCTTGCCAGTTCCTGCTCCAGGTGGATTGCGTTTAGTCAGAACTCTCCACTATAACCTGCCCATCTTGGGTGTCCCTGTAAGGCATAGGCCATAGCTTCTCTGAATTCCTCAAGCCCCTTCGCCACAACAATCTACATTTATTCAAATACAGTCATGTCATATTTTTCCAGTTGCTGCACAGTTGTGGAGGGTGAGTTTTCACTTAACTGCGGCTTATTTTTGGGGTAGGGCTTATATTACTAGCATCCTGAAAAATCATACTAGGGCTTATTTTCAGGTTAAGTCTTATTTGGGGGAAAATAGGGTAGTAGTAACAATGATGAGAACAACTTATACAGCTGACAGATTGAAACATAATTTTGGGCTGAGTAATCCTTTTTTAATTATTATCATTAAAGGGTTACAAACATGTGCTTTAAAGCTCTCCAGTGCTCTTCAGACATGTTATGTGCTGTCAAGTCACATCTAACCTATAGCTACCCTAATAAGATTTTCAAGGTATTTATGGAATAGTTTTACCATTGTCATGCCTCAATGAGTTTCCATGGCCGAGTGTGGATTTGAACCCTGGTTTCCCGAATCCCCGTCTGTTACTCTGTCCAATACACCACACTGGTTCTCTGGTTAGCCGTAGATTTACAAAATTTGGGGAAATGGTGAAGAAGCAAAATGTCCCTCAAATTTGGACAGATTCGGTGGCCGTTGTTACAAGTGGATTGTTGGTAAAGTAAGACTGAGATTGCAAATTCACTGTCACTCATCGTAAAACAAAGGACTCAAGGTATGTGTTTACAATGTCTTTTTTTCTTTACACAAAATATTAGATCTTATCTGGTAATGTGATCAGTACCCTTCTTTGTCAGCAGTGCATTCTACATTGCACAGAGGACAATTCACACACATTTGATATCACAAATTATACAAAAGCCAGTTTCAGAATACTTCAGCCTCTTACGGTATTTTGTTGCACATTTCACAGTAGGTATTAGCAGACAATACGAATTACAGAAGAAAACTGAAGAGACTGAAACAGAGACAGCTAAAGTAGACTACATTCAGATTCCAAAATCCATCAGGACTGAATCTGGAACATGTATTTTTGTTTAGTCGTTAAGTCGTGTCCGACTCTTCGTGACGCCATGGACCAGAACACGCCAGGCCCTCCTGTCTTCCACTGCCTCCCGGAGTTGGGTCAAATTCATGTTCAATGACACTGTCCAACCATCTCATCATCTGTCGTCCCCTTCTACTCTTGCCTTCACACTTTCCCAACATCAGGGTCTTTTCCAGGGAGTCTTCTCTTCTCATGAGATGGCCAAAATATTGGAGCCTCAGCTTCTGGATCTGTCCTTCCAGTGAGCACGCAGGGCTGATTTCCTTCAGAATGGATAGGTTTGTTCTTGCAGTCCAGGGGACTCTCAAGAGTCTCCTCGAGCACCACAATTCAAAAGCATCAATTCTTCGGCAGTCAGCCTTTATGGTGCAGCTCTCACTTCCCTACATTGCTACTGGAAAAACTATAGCTTTCACTATGCGGACCTTTCTCGGCAAGGTGATGTCTCTGCTTTTTAAGATGCTTTCTAGGTTCATCATCGCTTTCCTCCCAAGAAGTACTGTGTACTGGGTTCATTAATAGTATGGAATAGCTATAACCAATCAGTCCCTTTCCTTTATTCTGACCTCAGCATATTTCCTAAAAACCATCAGATGGCTGATAGTAGGATGTTTCTGTAATCAGCAAATTGACTAATTATTGCTAGTGTTAGCAGTGCTACTGCCATTTTGAAAATGCCTTTCTAATGTATTTGCCATTTCTCCACTTTAGTTGTTCCCACTCTACATCATATCTTGTATAAAAAGCTGACATTTATTGAGCTCTGTGTGTCTGAAGTGGATAGCAACCCAATCTCTGACAAAAATAAATTGGTTAATATAATAATCTTGGAAATGTAGAGCTGGAAGGCACCCTATGGATCATTGAGTCCCACCCCTGTCAAGGAGGCAGGGTGGGGAATCAAACTCTCAACTTCTCGTTCCGCAGACAGATATTTAAGCCACTGAACTTTCATTCATCTTCAAAGGGCCACAATCCTTTTGTTTTCATTTTTCCAGCACATTCTGAAATGTTGGCTCATTTAGGTATACCGTAATTATAGATTGTCTCTGAACTTCTGAGACATTGTTCAGAACTTTGGACTAAATTAATTAAATCTATGGGACCTTCACTAGTGTTGATTTAAGCGGCAGTCATTCAGTGGATGTAATTCCAATACTGTACATTGAACCATTTATCAGGGGCTAAATTAATAATATAATTTCTAGTCCAAACTATTCTCTAAATTCTTGATTCTGAAGAGTTACACTTTGTCTTTCAATGAAATAAGGTCTAAGGTGCTTTCAATAGACAAAAAGAACTGAAGGGGAAAATACAACCAATTAATACTTTTTTTTTAAAAAAAGGGGTTGTTTGCGTAGGGTTCAGATCCAAATTCTTTCAAGGCAATTAAAATTGTATTCACGAAGGCTTTCACGGCCGGGATCTAATGGTTGTGGGTTTTTCGGGCTTTTTGGCCCTGTTCTGAAGGTTGTTCTTCCTGACGTTTCGCCAGTCTCTGTGGCCGGCATCTTCAGAGGACAGGAGTAGGAACTCTGTCCATGCACCAACAGAGCACGGACAGAGTTCCTACTTCAGTCCTCTGAAGATGCCGGTCACAGAGACTGGCGAAACGTTAGGAAGATAGAAAAACCCACAACAGCCATCGGATCCAGGCCGTGAAAGCCTTCGAGAATACATAGGACAAACTTTACTCTGGAGTAGGGATAACTTAAAGTAGCGGCGCTGCTCGGCCCCAAACAGATGCCGGGAAAAGTCACGTCTAATTAATCAATAGTAACGCCGCTAAAGCACTCCATTGGCTTCAAATCGTGGATCGGGGCAAAGGTCAACGGAAGTTTGTCCCTTAAACGAAAGGATCCTCTCTAGGCAGCCCTTCGCTGCTTCAAGCCGAGGATAGGAGGACTTTAGCGACGCTACTGCGCATCCTCGGAAAGACGTATCGCGGTGAGGGGGGAGGAGGAGGAGGTGGCGGGGGAAAATGGCGGACGGCAAAGGAGGCGATGTGAAGCTGAAGCGACCGCGTTTTGACGAAGGTAAACGTGGTGCGCCGTTATTCCTGCCCAACTCATTTTTTTTCCTGCATGTGGGGCTCCAGATAGGACGAGGGGCGAAGTTAGAGGGGGGTTTGGCGCGAGAGCGGTAGGACGGTGGGGAGCCGAGTCTTGAGCGGGTGAATGTTGGAGGCTTCATCGCTTCCAAATGTTTTGCAATGGCCGGCTCAGTTCCTAACGTTAGTTCCTCTGCCGGCTTAGCCTCTCAGCAACCGAGATTATACAACCCGTTAGTCCTCTCGGGCTGCTCAGCTTGGTCTGCCGGGCGCTCGCCGAGGGTCCGTTTCTTCAGCCTTGCCATCGCCTAAAGGCAGTTGCTGATGCCCAATTTCTAGCGTGCCTTTGTTGTTAGGGGGACGAGTATATGCTAAGTAAGGTCATTTGGGGTTTTTTCACCGCTGGGGAAGGGGTGTCTTGACAGATCTGTTGACATGATAGATTTGCAGACATCAGTATTTCTGAGATGTCGCATTTGTTTCAGAGTGCAGATCTCTATAAATTATCACAGTATCTTAAAGGCCTTTCTGTAATCACAGCATTTTGATCACTATCCCCTTCGTTAACATGGAATTAAGTTTCTAAAGTTGCACTGATTAAAGCTCAGATCCTGTACACATGTACTGTACCTGTGTATTTTATTAAATTCAGGCTTATTCCTGATTAGGCATATAAAGGTGCGCTGGATAAAGGATGCTGAACCTAAAAGTGCAATGTGATAGTGGCTTGTTTCATTCCCGGTCATCAGTTTGACCAATGATAGTTTATTTTCTACTTTCTCAACATCAGTTAATTTTATATTAGTTACTGTTAAATTGCTAGAGATATGTGGATGTGGATGAAACCATTATATTTGAGAGATTTAATAATTTGTACCGTGATACAATTTTTAAAGAACATATGAAAAAAAATAATACTACATTTTCATAGGAGCTTTTCAGTATTTGTTTCTGTCTGTTTATTATTACTGATCAAAGATAATTTTGCTTTCTCAAACTGCCAGTGAAATTTCAGATATGTCTCGTATGTGCTTTTTGCCCATTTTATTAGCTAAACCTTTCTAAAACCTGAGCCAGAACCTGTTTTTACTGCCCAGACTCAACCTAAGATCTTAGAAATAGGTGATCTGTAAATATTAGTAAAACATCTGCTATTTGCAGTTCACGTTACTATGGACTGCCTGAGAGAGCTTTTCATTTACCATAGACTGCCAAGAGAAAAAATAAGTAGGTGCTAGATCAAATGAAGCCTGAACTCTTTCTGGAAATAAGAGTGCCAAAACTGAGACTATCATACTTTGGGCATATCATGATAAAACAGGAGGAGTCACTGGAAAAGGCAATAATGGTGGCAGAAGTTGAAGGCAGTAGGAAAAGGGAGACGAACAATAATTTTATAAAGGACATAAAGGCCATGAGTTTGTAAGACGTGACCAGCGCTGCTAATTATAGGAGTTTTGGAAGTCATTTATTGATTGCCATAGGTAAAAAGGTAAAGGTTCCCCTTGACAATTTTTGTCCAGTCGTGTTCGACTCTAGGGGGCGGTGCTCATCCCTGTTTCCAAGTCAGAGCCAGCATTTTGTCCGAAGACAATCTTCCGTGGTCACAGAACGCTGTTACCTTCCCACCGAGGCGGTCCCTATTTATCTACTTGCATTTGCATGCTTTCGAACCGCTAGGTTGGCGGAAGCTGGGACAAGCGACGGGAGCTCACTCCGTCGCGTGGATTCGATCTTACGACTGCTTGGTCTTCTGACCCTGCAGCACAGGCTTCTGCAGTTTAGCCCGCAGCGCCACCACCATACCTCACAAGTAATTTAGTGAAACATATCAACAGTGGTTAAGTCTTGCAAAATTCACGGATGCCCTACAAATTCTTTTGAAAACTATCTTATGTTAGATTTTATAGCACAAACAAAAAACTAACTATGCTTCACATCACACATAGTAGCTTAGGCATAAAGGTAAAACTGAAAGGCAGGGCTTCTTCCAGAGGCAGACTGCACACTGAGATGGTAGGCAGTCTTGAATTATCTTTATTTTATATCTTTGTAAGTACAAAAACGAAAGGAAAGAAGGTAAAAAGAGTAAAGGCAGAAGTCTCATGAAACAGTCCAGATTTCTGACCGGAAAGTGCTGACTTAGTAATTAAGGAGATTTCAATTAGTATTGAAGACAGTGTCCATGTTTTTTATTTGTGAAGTGCTGAATTTATGTATCAGAATATGTGGCAGATTTGAGTCCCTGTGAGGTCTTCTGAAACAGTGCCTCCCCTCCCCTCCCCCACCCCAATTATGGAATTTTGTTTATAATGGTGTTAAAGTTTAGGCCAAGTAACTTTTTGATGGTGTTATAAATGCTACCTGATTAGTTTGTTATTAGAGATCCAAGGCTAAATCAGGAAAGAAGTCATGCTATTTTTGACTGGTGTGGCCCTTCTGGTAACCTTCACAGAACAGTAAATTCTGAAAGAACGTCACAAGTTACAGAGTTCATCCTTGTAAACAGAATATGCACATCAATCTTAACCTAATGATTCATATTTTTAAAACATTGTATGTGTGTCTGCCTGCTAAGTAGATAGATGGGTAAGAGTTTTAGGTTTCTGATGAGTCTTCATTTTGTTCATAATAAAATATGGTCACTACTGAAATTAAAAATGTGTATATGTTTTAATAAATCATAGGTTTGTGTAAGTGGCCTGGATCCAACAATATTGTAGTATTAGCATAAGGTTCATTGGCTCTAAATTTAATACAAGGAACTATTTCAGTGCAGTTTTCCAGTGTTCGATATAAGTCCTATATAACTGCCTGAGAAGATCCCGGGTTATTCTAGTACAGACCTATTCTAGTCCAACATTGTGTTCAGACAATAGTCAGTAGGCTGCCTGTAGGAAGCAAAAGAGGCATGTAATTACACCCCACTGTGCATTACCCAGCATATTGCCTCTGATACTGGAGACATACAGCCATCCTAGTAGCACTAATCTTGGTGAGTTCTGCTTTCTAATGTTGCCCAGGTCTGTATTGTCTCTTATATTTCCATTTGTCCAATTGTTGATTTTAACACAACTACAGTAATAAGAATTTTTTTCCTGCTAGCATTGTACTGGCATCAAACATTAGTATAAAAAATAAATATGACTGGGACTTACGGTATTTCCTGATAAAAATGCTCAGTATAACCTTGGATTAAGAAATTTACAACATTCTAATGTTATTAAACTTGTTCATTATTTTGTTTTGCACTACTTTATTCTACTAAACATGAAATTGATCAGGGTTTAAGTAATTATTAATTTTATTATTCTGCTCTTTGTGAAAGGTATTGTACTACCTGGACTTTATTGTAGTACAATAAGGTAAATAATATCTGATAGTAAGGATGAGTAATTACCTAGAACATTTATTTATTTATTTATTTATTTATTTACTTACTTACATTTTTATCCCACCAACTAGTAGCAAAGCTACTTACTACCCTGGACAGCAAACACAACCAAATATACCAGTAATCAAAAGCATTTAAAATATAGGTGAGAAAAACACAAAATCCCATGGCCATGATACATGAGAACCAATGGATGCAATAATCTGACAGGCCCATGAGCTTCAGACAAACAAACAAAAAATCACAGGAGGCTGTATAAATGTAAGTGATGTATTCTTAGACCTCACTTCTTCAATAACCATCTCTATAAGCCATTGCATGTTTTTTACCTACTAGACCAGTCCTCTAGATTCAGCCCTCCTAAAAGAAGTTACCCACTGTTGAAATAAGACTATGAATTCTGCGGCAGTTTAGTCCAAATGTGGCATAAAAAAGTGTAACATTTCAAACATTAGATTTCTAGAATTCAGGACAAACACAGTATAAATGAGAACCCTTCAGAGCTGAACATTAAAAAATTCCAAACAGATTTATCTGTATATTACATGCTCTGTCTTGATCTGACTGACCCTGCATTTTCTACTGTGGTGTCACACAGCTCCAAGATGTAAAGATTTTTGAAACTGAAGTTTGTTGTTGTTGTAATAATTCATCAGTTGTGTGATTAGAGGTCCTTTCACTATATGTCTATGTCCTTACAGTGTGCTCTGTATAAACAGTTGTGGAGGTGCTGACACTGTAAGTGCAAAAGTCTCCTCTGCATAACAGTGCTTTATGAGGTTGCTGCTCCCATCAGTCCACTCAGTAAAAATAGCTCATCTTGGTAAGTTGTTTCGACTTCACCAGGACCTGAAGAAGAGGCAGAAAAACCTGTGAAAACTAAGACTGTTTCTTCCAGTAATGGAGGGGAAAGCTCGAGTCGCAGCGCGGAGAAGCGGGTGGCTGAGGAAGAGGCCGAAGACTTCTCAACAAAGCCTGCTCCTGCCAAAATGTCCAAGATTGGGTTTGCGATTGGCACACAAATTGCAAAGAAACCACCTGCAATATCCATCAAACTTGGAGCAAATGTAAGATCTTGAAAACTATTCTTGTGAATGGCAAAATTGTACTCTTCATTTAAAAAAAAAATTAGTCAGGAGGAGAGATGAGCACAAACCATTGGTTTGGCAGTTTGTGCTGGTTTGGCCAAGGACTGAACAGGTGTTCTGAGGTTTGGGGCCCATGCCGTCTGGCATAGGGCCACTTTGAGGCACTACACCAGCTTCCCTGCCCCACCTCTTGAAGACAGGGCAGGGACGCAGAGGGTGCAGGACACTGAACCAGTGGTTCATGCTCACCTCTAGTCAGGAATCTACTGGAGATTGTAAACATTGATTTCACGAGCCTTAACTGATTCAGAAATATTAACTGTCACAAATGCTTGATAATTTTCAGAAAGTATTGGTGAATGTAGTATTTCCTTAGAACACTCTTAACTGATTATTTCAACTCTGATATTATTATTATTATGCAGTATTGAGAGAGGTACCTATTGCTTGACTAGGAGCAAAATAATATTACAGTTTTTTTTAAACTTTCTTTGATAAGATGCATACACATTAGCTGTATAGTCTAATAAAGGTAAAGGTTCCCATTGACAGTTGTTCAGTCGTGTCCGACTCTAGGGGGTGGTGCTCATCCCCATTTCCAAGCTGTAGAGCCAACGTTTGTCCGTAGACAGTTTCTGTGGTCATGTGGCCAGCACAGCTAGACCCGGAATGCCGTTACCTTCCCACCGTGGTGGTACCTATTTATCTACTCGCATTTTTACATGCTTTTGAACTGCTAGGTTGTCAGGACTGGGGCAAGCGGATTCAAACTGCTGATCTTTCGACCTTGCAGCCCAGAGGCTTTGCGGTTTAACCCACAGTGCCACCATGTCCCATTATATAGTCTAATACTTAAACATAAATTGAAGATACAAGTGTTCATTAATCAAGATCTCAACATGGTGGTGATAGCAATATTTTGTCCTCTTCATTGGTAGCAGCAACGTGATAATTATAATTTCAGGTAGATATAATATTGCCCCGTTTGGTAGTCAGTTAGTAGTCCCATAGGGGCTTTCAAAGCAATAAAACAAATGTTCCAAAATGCAACAACTAAACAGATTAAAAATTCACAGCATTGTGAAAGAATTAACCATGTATCCAACACTGCTTGTAAACTTCAGAAAACAATAAGCTGTTTGCCAGCTATTGAAGCAATAGCCTTGAGGAGGGCACTCTATAGGAGAAATTACTGGAAAAGGGCTGTCTCCAGTCACCTTTGTCATACTTACTTGAAGAAGAGCCTTTGATGTAGATAATGGTGCTCTTAACAGATTGAAATAGAAGAAATCCTAAACTATGCTAGACTAGTACATCTGATTTTTTTTTCAGTGTCTGACTTTCTGTCCAAATTGAACTCCTTTGTTCACCATATAGCAGAGAGGATAGGATGGAATGCTGCTTTTTGGAAACAGTCCCCAGTCCTTTTTTGGGGGGTGGTCAGGGAGCCCATTTTCAGATCCTTTGATTGCCAAGACCAGTAGCTCTTGTGTTTCAAGTAAATTCTGCACTATGAGAAGAGATGTGTTTGAAATTATTGATCTGCATTTACATTCTTGGCCACAATAACATATAGCCTTCCTTTCCCTGTAGAAACCTAAAGAACCTACTCCAGCTCCAAAAACACTTTCTGTAGCAGCAATCTTCAATGAAGATGAAGATGTAAGTGAATAACTTATAATAAAGATGTGTTATGTTGTCTGGCTAAAACTAATTACAGGATGGAGATCTCACGTGTGTTCCTAATGCATTACTCTTAAAATTGAACTAAATTGCAGAATGTGTCAATGTCCTTTTCAAAACCTACAGTACGTTTGAATGCTTGGCTGCCCAGCTGTTTAAGAATTCTGGCATTTCCCTTGTCTTTACACAGGACTAAATAGTATACGAAAATAAAAAGTTTTTCTAGTTCTTGACTTGATATTCCCATTTGTACTTGCTGGGATGATCGTCTTTTCAGTCTCTTATGAGAAACTCATCAGTACTGCTATATGAGTGTTTAAGTAAAAACAGGTGATGTGAATTTCTGATCCTGGCCTTCTGCTTCTAAACATGATTGTAGATATAGAAGAAATATGAAAGGTATATATGTGTGATTTTAGGGAGGACATAAAAATGTATAGTAGGAATGATTGGGCGGGTTCAGTTTGAGGAACCCGAGAATGAAAACAAAGGCATGAGATCAGATCCCCCTCCCTAGTCTACATCTAGTTGTAAGGCTATGCTTGCCTGCTTCACCAGTTCAAATACAGAGCGTAAACTTTAGATTAGATGAGGCTTATAATGACACTGACAGTTTGGTTATAAGAAACATGAATTTCTGATTTAAAAAAAAATGCTTATGTTCTCTTTGTGACTAGAGTGAACCTGAAGAGATGCCTCCAGAAGCTAAAATGCGTATGAAGAACATCGGAAGGTAGGGTAGCTCTTACTATTGTAGAGAAAGAAGTGTATTAAGCAGTAGGAATCAGAGAACATCCAGTTAGAACTCATGTATAAAAAAGACACATCTCAAGATGCTGTAAAATGATGCCATTGTTTTAAAATCTTGATGAGTTTCAACCATACTGGAGACCAACTAATCATTTATTGGTAAGGTGGCCTGGAGACTCCTAACAAAAAATTCTATTGTCTACCCCTTTAAAAAAAGCCCAAGAGTATTTGCAAGCTGAAACACATTGGGCATTTTAAGCAATAAACATTTTACTGTGTCTTGAGTCTTACTTGTCCTGTAAGTAAGGCAGGGAAAGAAGAAAGTATGTTCTTCTGTATGTTAGTTGCCTAGAAGTATATAGATGATGAAAAATATAAAACCTTTATACTGTACTAGTTCTGCTTTCTCCCACAGCAGCAATTTAAAAACTGTTGCAATTTTTCTTAGTTACAACCAGAACTATTTGCATTTCCTTTCTTTCTTGTTCCCCATATCATATTTTCTTCCTCACTGTATTTGGATTTCGTTTCTTAGTAGAATATTTTTGAAACAGATGCTATTCTTCTTAATCATAGTGATTCAAAACCTGAAGTCTTATGGAGGCTCATATAGGAGAAGCAGCGTATATGCTGGAGAGGCTGTAACAGTTAATTATGGAGATAGGTCTTATCACACAAAGCTGTTGTCTACTGAGATCATTGGTTCAGTATTCTATGTCTGTTTAGACTAACAGCAGCCCTTCAAGGTCACACATGGAAATCTTTTGCTGCCTTATCTGGAGATGCCACTGCCTGGACCTGTATTTGTTTCATGACAAAGTATCTGCTCCATCTTTTCCAGGTCTACAAGAGTATGTTAGAAACATTAGGAACCCTGATAATCCTTTCTTCTCTGTTAAATTCTAGTGAGTCACTTAATGTCTTACAGTATCACATTAGGCTAAAATCTAGTAGTAAGTTGTAGCTAGAGTAGGCCTATTGAATCAGTGGGGATTTGCTGAGTCAGCTTCTCCATAGGTTCCATTTGTTCAATGGTCTTACTATAGTTGTGACTTACTACTAAATTTCAGCCATCTTGTGAATATGTTGGAAGCAGACTTTTTAAAAGTGTTTCTCAGTGGCATAGGAGAAAAACTTCATACCATTCCCCCGTTTGAGTATAATTCTGGAAATAATTTTTTTGAATTTGTCTGATTACTAACCTTGGGAAATGAAAAATGTGATGGCATTTTGGTTTTTCTCTAAGCCAGTCTCTGGATGTTCTCACTGGGTATAGTTTGTAGACTAACAAGCTTAACTATAAAAACAAAAAGAAAACAAGAAGTATTGTGGAATCTTAACATAACTAATTTATTTCAGGATGAATTTTCATGCTTTGCAATCTATTTTTTGGGCAAATGAAGCATAGGTTTACATACGGTGTACAAGGTGGTGGGAACCAAATGTGAATAAAGGAGAGTGGATACGGGGCAAAGTGGAATGACAGTTGCATATTAATCTCTGGTATAAGCTCCCTTATCCACACTTGGTCCCTCCTTCCAGGTACGCTGTATAGAAAATTGTGGGGCAGATATTTGATTCAATATTGTGTATTGTGTGATGATGCTTTTATTTTGTTGTTATCAGAAACAGAATTACAATGGCTGTCTCTCTAAAAGCATGTGCATTAAGGTTTTTAGACCTCATCTGTTATATTTGTAAAGTTAGCCAGTTGCTTTTGTTCATTTTTCACAGGGATACTCCAACTTCAGCAGGACCAAATTCTTTCAACAAAGGAAAGCATGGATTTTCTGACAACCAGAAGCTATGGGAACGGAATATGAAATCCCATCTTGGAAATGTCCGTGAACAAGATGATTAGTTGTGATCTGATGGCTGGGGAATGGGGAGGCCATGATATTAAAGGAACAGTTTCCTTTTCTTTTTTTTTAAAGAGTGGTCTAAGGCTATTTTGGGTGCCACTTTTAAAAGTTTCTAGTGGTGCACAAAAATGAGTTTAAAAGTAGAGGTAATTTATGTTTTGTATACAAATTTCAAAGCATTTGCTAATTTTGTAGCTTCGTGCAATTAATTTCACAAGGTTATGGAAAATAAAGTAATTGGAAGTGGTAACATTTTAAAGAATGTTCTTTTTACAACTCTTGTATGAAGACAGCGACAATTAAAGTTAAATGCTGCTACACTCAACTTCCAGTTCCTCCTCTGTAACAAGTCAGCTGCTTGTTTCCTTAAAGCTCCTTTTACAGAGTAAAAACACCACACTGGAAGTTGGATTTAATCAGCATAAAACCTGTGAACTAGACTACTGCAAAAACAATTCAGTACTTTTAACCATCATAAACTAAGACTTCTGGCTGTGGTAGCTTAGTTCTGTATTCCTGTTTTCAAATTCTGTGTAATTTCTCCGTAGCCTGTTTCACTCCTAGAAACAGGGTTTGCGTATTTATCAATATTAGAACAGAACAAAAATTCATAACAGGTAAATCAATATTTTTGGTGTTTTTGTAATCATGAGTCTTGACCAATGCTTGTTACTGTATTTTTGTTGCTTTTAGTGAGATTTAGGCAATAGTACACAGGCATTGCCAAAAGAGATGATTCTTTTTCATGATTTAGTTTGGTTGCAATATATTCCATAACCTCATAAAATGATCAGAAGCCACAAACAAATAAACCAATGGTAGCTTATTGAGGTGCAGAAATTTAGAAATGTGCTTCCATAATTTCCTAGTTTTAGATTCTTGAAGAGCCTTTTCCTTATATTTTTAATTAAGGACACTATGGCTGAAATCCTGTCCACACAGCACTTCCCCATGTAAGACTGATTTTTTTTCCTCCAGTAAAACCATTTCTTACTCCCATGCCCTGAAGGTCCCAAGGTTCCCATGGAATCCCTTTGGGATCTCATTAGGGATTGGTGCAAATAAGGAACTTTAATTTCAAAAACTTACCCGCAGTAAAGTCATCCTGGTTTGTGGGTGGTGAAATTAGAGACTCCCACGTGGCTTTCTGATGATCAAATGGATTCTGTAGGAGCCTTGGGACCTCAGGGTAGGGTGTTAGATATGTTTTGTTTCTGAAAACCTGCTGCAGCTGATGACATCATTAACCTTACATGGCATAGCTGCATGAATAGGATTCCAGCTGTTCAGATATAAAATGATTATTAAACCTATATTAGTATTGCTATTAAATAGTATTTGATGGAACATGAATAATTTCACATTTTTATTCCTGTCTGTTCTACACTTAGCATTACTTACACAAGTTTGATGGGGAATTACTTTTAGCAGTAAAACTTTTATAGCAGAGAAAGTCAATTCTGTTAGCCCGAATCTATCTAGAATCTTATAAATATTGCTATTTCCCAATATTTACCATTGATATTTATTACTTGATATTTCTTCAGCATGTTTTATCTTGTTGGGATTAGGTAGCATCAGCAGCCCCTTTTGCTAGGTCTAGTGGAGTTAGATAAACACATCAGAAATAGTATATTTGTTCAAATTGCCTAAGTATTTGATAAAACTGGAATTTGTAGGTCTATTGTGGAGCCTGGGGGAATATTGTAAACATGATTCAGATCACCTAACGTCTTTGAGTAAACCTTATGCTAAAGCTGAAGGTGGCTGGTGAAGGCAAATTGCATCTTAGTTTTCTTTTTAAATTTTAGAAGAGCTTAGACCATGTGTACTTTTGTGTTTTAAATTCTAGATATTTTTGTATTTTGATATTTGTATGTGATTCTTTTTCCTTCACAGTTCAAAATTTGTTGCTTATATTTTCTTTAACATCTTTGCTATAAACATAAGAAATGTCAAAGTTAGTTCTTTGTAGATGTAGTGGTTTAACTACTTGTGAAAATTCAAGACTTCAAAAAGATAGTAGTTATATTTTTGACTCATTTGAAACTAGTTGCATAAAGCCATTAACTGACCTTTATATAAGGAGAAAGGAGCATGTTACTAGTAATAGTTTACATGCCAAGAAAAATAAACCCTTCAGTCTATTAGTGCCTTCTTAAAACTTATGACTAGATGCCTGGACCTTTAATCTCTGGGCAGTTAATTATCCTGTTTTAATATATTCTTCGTTTCAGAATCTTACTTATTTTCAAAGCAAGAAAAAAATTACATGCACCCTGTAACTCAGGCCTAAAATTACTATTCTCTTGAAGTTTCACAGTTGTAGTAATAAGAACGAGGATGAAGGGAGATTTTTGAGTATTTTCCATGATGCATAAATTCAAGAAGAAGCAAAAAGTGGGATCCAAAAGGTGTAACTATTTCTTGAATGTTGTCTGTGCTGATGTTGTATACTCTTAGGCATGAATTCTAGCTGCCAAGGCTAGTATTTAAGCATAAAAGCCTGAAAAGTAAAACTAAATTACATGTCAAGTTTATGTATTGTACACAAAAGAAGTTATTTTATACATAAATTTATCAAGACAAGTGTGAGAACAAATCTCTCTCTAAAAACCCCAAAAGCTTGACCTATAGTGCTATAACTTTGTGCACTGATTTTTTTTTCTCTTTCAGGTTGTAGGCTTAATCAGATGAAATCATCTGTACTTTGATAATGGATTAGACCCAGCCTTAATAATTCTTGGAGTTTCCCCACTAATATCAGTGTGATCTAACTTAGTCTTCCATTGGCCTGAATCCACTCTGTAATACTACTGAGTCTGTTCTAGATTAGATTGCCAATTATATTTAGATTGTTGAATTTAATGGGTCTATTATAAGTTTGACTAAGTTGGAGCTGACAGATACGAACCACCTATAGTTAGAATTTTTGCTGTTGATGATAGGATATGAGCATCTTAACATCACCATTAATAACGCAAGGTTTGCTTATAGTAACTTGAACTTCTGCATTTATATCTGGTTTGAAAACAAGACCTACATCCAGTGTCACACTTGCACTATATCCCTCACTCCTGGTAAAAAAACCTGGCTCAGGGTGCTTCCTCTGTTGTCCAAAACTGGGTGGCTACAGTGGAAAAGAGGACATTGCTCTCTTCCACCTGATTCTCCAAGAAGTCCAGCATTAGATTCTGCTCTGTGATACTAAGGAGATATGAGAAGTACTGAAATGAATAATGTATCTTCATTACAGAAATAATCATTGATCAGACTCCCTAGCCCATCTGTTTTACCAGTACTTTGGAAAGCTGATGACTGTGCCATTGCACCATTGCCTTTGCAAAAGGTAGAAACTATTGTCCTACTCTGAGCCTTTACTGTCACAACTCTCTTCAGTATAAAACAGTATTTTCACTGCTACCCTATTACATAGCTTAGCTATTCCTCAGCTGGCTATGTGAATAATACCTTAAGCCCCTAAGGTCATTGGGGCCATGACATTATTCACATAACTGGCCCAAGGAGAATTGCTAGTGCCCTTCTTTTCTACCCTCTCCCAATGAGTGTTGTGGTGGGTGGCATGTGGAAGCAGCAGCATTTCTCTCCCTGCACCAAGTGATTGAGAAAGCTTGCACCAATGTATCTTGTAAGCACTAGGATTGGACAGTTGTGAAATTTTTGTTTCGATTGTATATTGAATCTGCCAAGGAGTAAAGCCCAGCTCTCACCCCCCACATGCGGTCCCAAATCAAAAATAATCATCTCACTTAATCATTCTGAAGTCTGGCTTTTTCTTCATTTGTTTTAGATGTTGGACGAAACAAATCAGGGAGTTGTTAAAATGAATCTAGTGGCTGATATTAAAAAATCATTGTGGAAATTCCTCTCAAGGAAGATCTATTAAACTCACATTGGAAGATAAAGAATTTTTGTTCTGGCAGGTTGTTTCAGTATCTTAATTTTTACTGTTTTAGATTTTTTTTAGTCATTCTCTGTGTTGACTATTTCTTTGTCTTTATACTGGTAATTTTTTTAAGGACCTTATATCAGATTTTTTAAAAAATCTAAATCAAAGAAACATTATTTTAAGAAATACAGCCATTGGCATTGTACAATGATGCAGGTCAGTGGTAGAAAATTGCTGGCTTGTGGATGGTTAGCCATAACTATCTAGCTGGATATAATGGGGTGAATTGTGCCAATATGGTGGATTCCTGCACTTTTCAGAAGTGCTAGAGATAGAGGTGAAATGGTTACTGGTAGTGAGACTAAAGTTTTTAGTGTGGCCATTTCTCCAGTAGAGGAGTGTTTGCTATGCGTTCGTTGTATAAGCTCTAGCAGCTGCCAGGAATCTAGGATTATTTTGAGATGCAAGATTTCAGATGCCCCCGTTGCCACCAGAAGTGACACCCCCAGCCTGATTTTCCTAATTACACTCTCCATCCATAAATGTTGTTCCCTCTCCTATTTTCCAGAAAGCTGGTGGCTGGTATAGGTCTAGTCAAGAACATTAAAAATCCTGTTTATAGAAAGAAGTCCCGTTATAATTTCCATTACAACAAGTTGTCTTTCTATAAACAGAAAGCATTATTTCAGTGAAGATGAAAAAGTTTTACTCAGTCATAACTGAACAGTATGCTCACTGAAGCTAAGAATACAACACAATAGTATTCTTTAACCTTCTGACCTTTATTTTAAGCAAAGAGAAGTAAAACAGAAAAATTTAAACCCGTAAAATCTAATACCTGTTGTCATATATAACAGTTTTATGTAGAATGCTTTAACCATTAGATGGGTCAAAGCATGAACTGGATTGCATCTATGTGCAATAAACATCATAGCATGTTAAGAAGTAGTAAATACTTTCATTGTTCAGAGTTAAAATTAATCATCTCCTGGTCTTAAAGTATCATTGGTACTTCATGGTTTCTCTGATTCACACCTATGGGAAGACCATTCAAACAGCTCCAGCCAAAATCCAAATAATGGATGTTGGTTGGAGGGCAGGCAGATTGTTGAAACCAGCAGGTTCATGCTCTGGTGCAAGAAAGATGTCTACACACAAGTTAGCAATGTTAGCGGTAATAAAGTCCTTTAAGGCATTCATAAGATCATAGAATCGTATAGAATAATTTAGTTGGAATGGGCCTATTCAAGACAACGATCGTGGGCAAAGTAGTATAAGTGGCTGCAGACCATACCACCGTGTATTACATAAACAGGATGGTGAGCATTCAATGTCTCTTCTGTATTTAACAGTTCAACTATGGGAATAGTGTGTATAGAGGCACATCTTTCCAATATCCATACATGTAGCAGGAGAGGACTACTGGACAACCAGTCTTCTAAGCAGACAGAAAACCCAGACTTACAAATGGGTACGGTCCTCAAGAGCGTTCAAGGATTTTTCAGCCATCGGGAATTGCCCAAAAGTGGATTTGTTTGCTGTCATAAGCAACAGGAAACACAATATATACTGGTCATGGGAAGGTTAGGGGAAGGACTCACTAGATGTCTTTACAACTTGTTGGTCAAGGAGATTCCTTTACCTCTTCTCACCAATTCCCTTGCTACACAGAAAAATAGTGAAAGTTCAGGAGAAAGCCAGTGCAGTTCTCATTACTCCATATAATGAGGCTTGGTTTGCAATTTTGACGCTGATGACAACAGATATTTGCCAATTACCAACTACTCCAGACGTAATAATGCAGAACAGAGGTACTGTCTGTCATCCAGACCTAGCCAGGCTGAAGCTGACAGTGTGGAGAATTCTTCAGCGGAAAAGAGGATTATGCTAGAAGCCAGAAAACTGCCAACTAGACAGAAGTATAAATACAAACGGAAAAAAAATGGTGTATTTTGCCAAATCAGTAGAGGAATCTTACAAATGCCTACTTCGCATACTGTCTTGTCTCTTTTTACCTTAGGGCTTAGCCAACCAATGAAGTTACCATTAGAACTGATGACCACCTCAGATTTAGTGCTATTATAAGACTGTATGTTTGATTACAATAACATTAACCTAGGAGAACAAGTGAGTTATGCGCTCTCAGGTATGACCTATGTCTCCTGTAATTCCATAGAAACAAGGTGACATTTTTTCATGACATCTTTTCTGCTGAAACTAGTTTGACTTTCATCATAATAAAATCATTACATTAGACATGAGGATCTTCTATGCCTCATGAATGAGGCAGTTCCAAAAGTCCAATAAGCTATTCAGTCTGTCTAGATGGATAGTGAACACTGTTACCCTATCTAACCAGTTAAGAGAAAAGGTCAGTACCTTCAACTTTGAAATTACATTCAACTAGAGCAGTTGCTGCATCCACAACATTGCAGAGAGGAATTCAAATGGCCGATACCTGTATAGAGCAGCAACATGCACCCAACCATTGAAGTTCTTTAAACATTATAGGGTGAACATCAGGGCAAAACTTGAAGCATCATTTGGCAAAGCTGTCATGTCTTCTATTGGTATTGCATCCAACCAGCGTGTAAGTTAGCTTTCCGGTGACCCATCGGTGTGAATTGCAGAACCCATGAAGAACAAGTTGCTTATCTGTCACTGTAGTTCTTCAAGTGGTCATTATGAATTCACATAACTGAACCATCCTCCCCTTGGTCTACCACATAAGTTTTTTTTCTATCAGTGGGTGAACTGAGGATTAATTGCACAATAGCATACAGAATATATAAAGAAAGCCCGGGGGGTTGGTGAAAAAAGTCAGTTTAGGTTATGCAAATTATATATTACTGGCAGAAAACAGTGGTGACTTGAAGTAACTCTTAATAAAGGTGAAAGACGACAGTATAAAAACAGGACTGTATTTGAATATTAATAAAGGAAAATTCCCAGCTGCAGAATTTTGACAATAAAGAAAATGAAATTGTTAAAAATGTCCATCTTGGTTGAGACATAAATCCAAACTGCAGTCACGAAGAGGGTAGATTTGGAACAGCAGCTATGAAGTTAACTAGAAAAGATCCTGAAGTGTAAGCATGTGTGACTGGAAACCAAGGTGAAGATAGTCTAATCTATATTATGATGTTCCAAATGATAGTGTACGGACGCAAAACATGGACAAAGAAAGCTGACATGAAAAAAAAATCAATTTTGATTAAAATGTCTAACAGATACTGTAGATTGCCAGAAAGACAAAGAATGATCACTAGATCACACCAAGCCTATGCTGTCTGCGACTACTACCGCTACTCTGTCAGTCTGGATGAAAAAAATGAGGCTATTGTACAAATTGTGAGAAGAGAAAAAGCCTGAAAAGCAATAGTGGTGAAAAAACTTGGAAGACAGAAGAAAAAAAGGAAGACAGGATATGAGATGGATTGACTAAATGGCCAAATTCCTATTGCTTAATGTAGTAAATTTCTCTAAAGTAGAAACACAGAATTAATGGAGATTTGGTGAATCAACTCATTTGTAAGTTCAGTTGATTCAAATGGGCCTACTCTTAACTAACTTACTGTGATGAGTAAGGACCATTTGAATCAATGGAACTTAGGGGAGTTGACTCACCAAACTTCCAATGACTCAGTTGGCCTATTCTATTGCAGCTTACTAAAGAAACAAGCAGGATTTTGGTTAATAAGGCATGACATGGATTTTACAAGAGTTAAGCAGGGTCGTTAATGGCAGTGCCTTTTGGAGGTCACCAATTCATAGGATTGCCATAGTCTGGAAGGGACTTGAAACCACATACCACCCATATATATATACCCAAATTAAATCAAACTATTCTTATTTCAGTAAACTGTACTTTGATAAGCTATTTGTCAAAAATGTGTAGAAAATAAAGACTCAATATGATTATTATGTTCTTTATATAAGAAGGTTCAAAGCGTTTGTTTTTCTAGGCTGTTTTACAGACTTGGAAATGCAAAAATTAGTTTTTTAAAAGAATTGTGGATCTAACATTACAAACTATACAGTAACACATAATAGGGAGTAGCTAAGTGCATGACCCAGTAAACAGTTTGCTGGGCAAAATCCAGCATTGTGTGAGTAGACCCCAACTTGCACAAGGGACTTTCCTTCCCATATCTGCAGAAGGGTTTTCCCACCCTTCTGGACTGGAGTTTGATAGCACCTAGAGGAAGAAGTCACACCCCTTGTCATTACACTGATGGAACCATTCTGTTGGCAGAAAAAAAACCATATGATGTGCTACCCAACAATAGACTATACTTTTGCATTTTACTCTGAAGGGGCCAATTTTTTGTGTATGTACTTTCAAATCATGTGCCTTGCTAATAAGCAACATTTTAATCCATTGTTCTCAAGATGGACATTTATACAATAAGTAGAACACTATGAAAGCCTATGGGAGTCAAAATATAAGTGCAATTACTTATGGTATACAAAACATTTCTGCCCTACTTCATTCTTGGTTAGTTTCCTGAAATGAAGCATAATTTCACCAATTTATACATCAAGCTTACAAATGTCCTTATTTCATGATGTGATATCATGAATTACATTTTATGATATATTAAATAAAAAAGCTAGAATAGTTAGTGCAAAAATGTACATCTCCTTGAAACTATTCAGCTTTCCTATAAAATGCTGTAATTTATTAGTTTGAGCTACCAAAGGATCATAATTGGTTACAACGTAGAGTCTATGTCAGCTGTTTATGTGGAAAGCTTAATAGATCATAATATAGTACTGTAACTATATGTGTTCAGACCAAAAATGCTATGCAGAGATATAACCAAATAAGCACACCAGAGTCAGTCTTGGCATCTTGTACAGTCATTCCCATGAGCTGTTCCAAGACTGCCGTATTCATCTGTATCAGTAGCAAGTTTGTAGTGTACATACTTAGATCACCTTTCTTGTTCATGTATGAAATTGAACAGCAAGTATAACAGAATTTTAAAATAAATGACACAACTCTTTGGTATCACAAACTAGCTTATAGTGCATAACAACTGTATATAAAAAACAAGCAGTATGAAGAAAAAAATATGTTCTACTTCATACCTACCACTATCACACAGATGACTTTATTTTTAGAATTATTTTTAAACTAAGTGATTACAACTGATGCAGTAGTCTTAAGAAAAGTCCACAACTTGTTTTCTTCAGTTTTAATCACAGAAGAAGTATAATACATTTGAGATATTGAAAACTGGGTTCAGAAGTTCCTGTATTATTGTAGATGTCCAGTCAGACAGTGAAAAGTCTGAAAAGTGGCATGCAACTTCATAGCCAGGTCATCATCTTCTGTATTAACAAATTGTTGTATTCATTCCTGATCAGAAACATGCTCCACCTCTACTTCTACAGTCTGAATAGCTTCTGTCACCTCAGTCATTTTCTGTCCTTGCTGTGCTAATACATAATTGACCACCTGCATGATACTTTGGTCAGAAAGCGTGGAAACTGTGGTACACTCTTCAGTAGCCGCAACAGCATCAAGTGCTTCTTCAGCCACTACTACTGTCTCAAGCTCTTCACTACAAACCTCTGTTTCTTGTTCTGGTACATCAGACGTTAAAATACTGATGGCATGCTCAACTTGTGTCCCTTGATTATGAAACTGAAGTGTGTCCTTTTCCAGCATAATTTTACAGGGTACATAATCACGGTGGAACTTGGTCATATGCTTTCGCAAGGTACGAGCGTCTATGTATGCTTCATTGCATACTGGACAAACGTAAGGCCTCTCTCCAGTATGCGATCTCACATGGCGCTTTAAAGATCGTGCATCAGCCCAAGCCACTCCACAGGTCAAACATTCAAAAGGCTTGACTCCTATTTAACAACGCACAAAAACAAAGATGTTACTAACTTCAGAACATCTAAGAAAAGCCAACACTAAATAAAAAGTAATAAAAATAAAAAATAAATAGACAAAGCAAAAAGCAAAGTGTGCTGCTTTTATACTGTCCCCTAGCGTTTAAAGCACTCTCTGGGCGCTTTACAATTTAATTATGCAGGCTACACATTGCTCACCTCCGTGAGCTGGGTAGTCATTTTAACAACCTCAGAAAGATAGAAGGCTGAATCAACCTTGAGCCGGCTACCTGGGATTGAACTCTGGGTTGTGAGCACAGTTTTGACTGCAGTATAGCAGCTTAACCACTGTGCCATGAGGCGCCTGTTAAGCATAGCAATTTACACCCTGTGACTCTCACTGATACTGGTTTATCACTATTGTCCAATTTGAGATTTTTGTTTTTTGGGGGGTTTTTTTTGGTTATTTTTATGAACTCTAGAAAGTTTCACAGAGTCAAAAGTATGTGGGAAGTACAGTGTCTGCTACAAATTTGCAGATGGAAGAACAGGTGTCCAGATTTCACAGAGTAGTTCTATTTATTTCATTTAGTCTTCGATTGCTGTCTTTTGTATTTATGCACACACCATTGGCAAGTAGCTTAGATTTTGCACAACATTACAGCAATACTGAATGAAATAATTTCTCCCTCACAGTTAAATTAATTTTTATACTAAATCACAGCTTTTGCCCATGGCAGTATTATACAGATAAAATTTGTTCTACTTACCTTCATGATTATTCATGTGTCTTCTGTATTCTCGCAGCTGGGTGAATTTTCTTCCACAGTGTTCACATATACGCTCCAAATTCTGCTTTGCTCTCCCTTTCTTTCCATGAGTAGCCTTCTTAACATGTCTTCTGTACAAAGCCTTCTCATAGAATTCTTTGCCACATACATTGCACCTAAAAAAGAACAGGTTTCAAGAACAGGAAACTCCTGAAAGTGTAGCTATTATAACAATATCTATTGCAGGCTGTTTTGATTTAGTTTCTTTAACAGTTTGGTACTAGAAAAGATTTTACAGTTGTTATCTCTGAAAGTGAAAACAAAGATGGTGTGATCTGTTGATAAAGGCCTATCAATGTTTCCAAAATTGCTCACAGACATCCATTTTTCAAATGTAATTTCCTCCTCATAATTTATGGCTTCCAAGTAGGATATGCTAAAATAATTCTTGTACCGTGTTTCCCCAAAAACAAGACAGGGTCATTACTATCTGAGTATTCTCACCTTACACAAGCTAGGTTGACTCACCTGTAAGGATCAGTAACAGAATGAGATTTCACATGAGAATACCAATCCTTCTTCCAACTATAGCACTTCCCACAAACTTGGCATTGGAATGGCTTCACTCCAAGATGCTTGTTCATATGTTGCCGCAGATCCCGAGGCTCATAGAAACTTTTTTCACATCTGAAGTGAAATGGCACACAATTATGTACAGTATTTTGTACTTTGTTAAAGAATCCTGCAGCGGAACATTAAGATGCTGCCGTGTGTCTGCTGTATTCAAGTGTTTTGTTTCATGTCTAAGAACAACCTCTGAATACACAAGATGGGAGACAATAGCAAGAATCAGATTAGTGTTCATGTAAGGTTTGTATAATTTGTTTCAGTTAATTGTGGCTTATTGACAAGATGCTAAGGTGTGTCTTGCTTGCAAGTGTGGTCACACTTCCAATTGCTTAACCAAGATCTGTGCTAGCACTTCTCAGTTAGTCACAATTAGCTGTGGCAAATTACACTAACTTTAGTGTAACACCAATAGGAATATGCAATTTGGATTTTTTGTATTCTAACTTCCTGATTTTCTCAAGAATTCCCTAGGCAGAATTCTGTGAGCTCAAGGCCACAAACTCACACTCATGGGCACCTGTATTTAACAGATTTATTTCAAACTAAACTAAACCTGTTAAGTCATTGAAGTGTCACTATATTTTGTTGCTGTGTTTTTCCCCCTTCTGTTTTGCCAACATGCTAAGTCAGACTAACACGGCTGCTTCTTTGGAAGCTTAGTGACTATTGGAAGGGGAACCTGAGGGAGAGGGGATTGGCATTTTAGACAACATGACTGGCTGGAACCCTAAAACAAAGTGCTCCACAATGCAACATTCCACTGCAGGTCCCACTTGTTAAAATTCTGAATAAAACTAAATACTGAAAAACAAATCTAAAGAAAGTGACCACTGATTTCCTCTATGCCTTTTACAAAGTGTATGTTCTTTCAACAACAGAAACAGTTATTTCCTTACCCACTTTGAATCTTCTTCACTATTAGGAACACAAGGATTCTTTCGGATACCCAGTAAAATTTAACAAAGCTAGCTTTAAAACATACAGGTTATAAAATGTATTTATACTCACTGGGTGCACTGATATCCACGAATTTCAGGTTTTGGCTGGTGTTTCTTTATGTGTTTACTAAGTCCTGAAGCTCTATGGAAAGACTTTCCACAATGTGGGCAAAAGTATTTTGATTCTCCTGATGAAATAAAGAGTATCAATGCCTTTAATGAATAAGTCATAGGAATAATCACATCCAACTTAAGGCAGAAGTAGTATTACTCATACATAAGAGTAAGAAACAATGCTTCCAAAAAGCCTAGCAAAATAGAATGTATCATGGCTGATTAAGTGTTGCGCTAAAATCCGAGGGAAGAGAAAGGGAGCAGAAACAGCAGGAAGAATGTAGTAGAAGAACATCTGGAAAAACATTCTAGAGATAGTTAATGAAGGAAAGAACACTGGATATACTGAGGCTTAAGGCACTATAAAAACTAGTCTGCATTGTGCCACGTTCTAGTCTTCTTATGTGTCAAGGATAATTATTTTTTTGATGGCTTGTTTCCAGTAATTTAAACAGTCTTAAAAAAAAGATGGCTAAGAACATGGAAATGATATAATTGAATTGTACCAACAAGACACGTGGCATTTAGACATACACTTGTGGGGGTTAGGAAAGAAGAAATGAGAGGAAAAATTGTTGAGCAGTGGATACAGGAAAAAAAACCCTGAAACACTGGAGGATAAAACTGAATAGAATCCGAGAACAGATAACAAATTGAAAAGTACTAGAATAAATCATGAATGGGGCCCAAACTGCTCAAGCTTAGAGCAGTGCTGCACCCAATGTTCCATCTGCTGTGCTCGGTCCTGGATGATCACGCCTGTAGCAGACTTAAGTATATGCTATTGCATATGGCTTCAGCTTTCATGAAACTCTTATTTAGCTGTTATGTCTGAAAACATGTAGGGGTCAAAAAACATGGTGATGTGAGTACACAGGTAAGCCTCAGCCATTCTGACTTTTTTTTGTGTTCAGCATGGACAGGTGTTGACCTTTGCCTCTGTGACTGATGGGTAAAATGGGAATGGGGCTTATATACATTCCTCCACCTCAATTAATCCCAATATCTTTTCAGGTTTAATGCCTGAATAGTTTACTTTCAACTACATGGTACTTTCTTAGCAATGTGAAGCACCAAAATTTGTAAACAAGTTACATATAAAATTTAATTAGGCCAATCCCTCTCCACCATTGAAGCTATCTATATTTTCTACCAAACCATAACCCTCTAAAACTTCATTCCAATCTATCATAGTAATGTCACAGGATGTCTACAAATGTAGAAGATTGTGACACCTTTATTAGACCAATAAAAAAACCGAAATCAAACAATTTAATGGAAGCCTCATGGAATAAACATTCTAATTTCTGGAGCTGTTATAAGATGGGTGGAAAGGAATCAAAAAAGAAAACAGTGAAGGTGTAAGGAAAACAGCATTTATGTAGACCAAGTCAGGACCCTTAAGCCTCTCGAAAGACTAGCAACAGAAAAAACTGAAGGATCAGCAATTAGCAAGAAAATTGAGAAAAAGTTCCACATCTCTACTAGGGATAAAGGTAAGACAATTATTGTTCGTTTAAAAGTTTCCTTCTGTTTTGTTCAATCAGTAATTTGTGACATAATAATAATAAACCCAATACCAGTAAGCAATAAATGAAGAACAAATAATATTATTTTCCTAAATTAACTAAGGGTAGTTAGTCAAACATTTGCTACAGGATTCTTCAAGTCTCTCAACACATTCGTGGATCAGTGATGGAATTCAATGACTCATTAGAAATTAACAGCAAATTATTTGGCTTCAGTTTGACATTTTGTATATTCCTCAAAGCTAACTGTATACGTTTGTCATCAATTAATGAAAGGTCTGTCATTTACCTGTGTGAATGCTTACGTGCTCCTGAAGGCTTCTTTTTGTGACAAAAGACTTATCACACAATTCACATTTAAACTGCTTCTGTGCCTCATGGAGTGCAAGGTGCATCTTTAAACCATGTTTGTAAGTAAATGACTTTCCACAAATCTAAAAAAGACCAAATTATCAATGTGGGACACTTTGCTGAATATGCTTGCATGGCATGACTAGAAAGAACTTAAAATTTTGACTTTTTTTACCTTACATGCATGAGGCTTTACACCTGTATGTTTCAGCATATGAATTCGGAGTGAGTAGAGTTTTGGTAAGCTTCTTCCACATATATCACAAATAAACTCCCGTTTAGTCCTTCCTTTGACAGCTGCACCACTTTCCTCTATGCTAGCTGTTGCAACAGTTACTTCATTTTTCCGGGTATGACGGACAAGATGAGCTCGTAACGAGGCACCATATTGAAATTCTTTTTTGCACAGCTAAGGAAACAAAATTTTGTGTTGTTTTCTTCCAAAAAATTAGCAGCAATCTTAGCACAATCAGAGACCATCATTCATGGTATAAATTTGTGGATACAAGAATTATTTCTGTATCTGCATTATTTTATTTGTAAATGTAGCCTATGAATACCATTGTATATTCACAGAGAGAACTGTGAAATCTTTAAATCTAAAATCTGTTCCAATTCAGACATATTTAGTTTGCATACCTAGGATTACTACTATGCTTTTCACCTAATGTTCCACGTATACACATTATGAATCTTACTGAAGAATCAAAATAGTTGAGACAGCTGCTACTTTCTTGCAGAAACTGCTTGAAAGACTGAAATAATAAGCTTCCCATAAAAGGAAAGCAATACTGTCCAGACTGTACACAGTCTGACAACCTAGAATTTAAAGAATGCATCTATATCTATAAAGTGACAGGAGTGTCTGCTGTAAAGAGCACCTTACCGGACACTTGTAATTTTTTGTCCTTTCATGTTTCAATGTGTGCATTATAAGAGCATAACGTCTTTGAAAAATCATTCCACACTCATTGCATTTGTGCTGGGTTTCTGTTTCATTGTGTTCTGTTGTATCCCTCTTGGGCTGCTTCATCTTCTTTCCTCTTTGCACTAGTTTCATAGCAACCTTAATGGAAAATTGCTAGTTAATACTAACACTCCACAGGGAGAAAAAAGTTAAGTTCAACTCCATAAGCAGAACAGATATAGAAATGCATTATATATTACTAAATTATTTTTGCAAATTAGTAGTTCTAGCGATCTATGGGACACAAAGAATTGATTTTCTGCATAAAATACATGTGTTCAAATTAATGAAGAATGTAAAGTCTGATACAGTATAAATTTACAGCTTGCTTTGAAAAGACACATAATAGTCAAATAGACATTAACAGATTGGCAAAATTCTGCAAGTGTAATTCTCTGCAGGTGTAATTTGGACTGGGCACTGGAAACGTTTAATTTAAATACCGTATTTTTCCGGGTATGAGATGCCCCCATGTATAAGACACCCCCCACTTTTCTAACCCAAAATTAAGAAATATAAGTGGGGCTTAGCAAGTGTAGGGGGAAAGGGATCAAAGCCCTGCAGGATCACTTTGATCCCTGCTTTCTCCTCCACTTGGTTTTTCTCTCCTCAGCTTACTTCCTTGTATAAGACGACCCTCAATTTTTAGTCTAAAGATTTTAGACAAAAGTATAGTTTTATACATGGAAAAATACAGTAAATGAAAGCTTCTCTTTTGCTCTGGGGGAGCCTTGGGATAGGGAGGAGTCTTTAATAGTCAAAAATCACTACCTGACTGCTGTCAGTGGGATGGGATGGGAACCATTGGCAGTTGATCCAGCCAGAACCTTTGACTATTAAAGTCTTCTCACCCTTGTCCCAAGTTGCCTAAAGGCTTCACCAGGGCAAAAGGGAGCTTCAAAACATAAAATGAGGGAAGTAAGAAACTTTTAATTACTTCAAATTAAATGCTTCCAGCGCCTGATCAAGGTTATGCTAGCATAAGTTTACACTACTAGGATTTAGCCCTTTATCAAATGACCATGAAAGTAGTTTATAAATTGACTGTGCTTGTTCTACAGTAATGTGTTTTTACACTTAATTCAAATGTTCTCATTTTTGTGATGACATCCCTCACACAATTAAAGATTTGAACTTCAAGTATAGATGAAATATTAGAACCTGAACTGTAGAACCTGAACACATCAACCAAAAGGAGAACTGTGACCAAACAGGCTCATGACATAACCAGTGAGACTGTAGTCAGCACCATTTACATTGCTATTAAGCTTGAAAGAAAGAATCAGGATGAACCATGCCTTATTAATACAATTAATAAGCCATATTCTGATGGGGAAGAAACTGTATAGTGTTTGAATCTTCCTGAGGAACTGTTTCCACATCCCCTGGAATGTCTGCCCTCATACATAGCAATGTATGAAGCTGCCTTATACTGAGACAATTAGTCCATCTTTCCCAATAACCTCAATACTAACCAGGGCAGATTCTCCAGGAATTTCAAGTACTGTAGTAGGCTTTCTAACAGTAACTGAAGATGCTGGAGATTAAAACTGGGACCTTTTGCATGATAAATGTAAACTCTCACATTGAGCTACAGCACCTCTCAATAGGAACTGATATTTAAAGATGTGAAGACATTATTTCCTTTTCTACCTCTCTTTCCAATGCTTCGAAGTCATTAAGGAAAGCTTTTACATGAACTCAAGAAAGTGAGCTCAAAGTGAGAGAAAGAACTCCCAGGTCGCTCTCTCAATTTTTAGGAAAATGGTAACACTGACTCTACTGTTACAGAGATGCTACTGTTTGACTTTCATAGTATTGACTGCATCTGGAGAAAGTTTACTAACACATAAAGTTGAGTTGTTTTCTTGTCACAGTGTTGTAGGTTTTTGCATAAATAGCTTGACATTACTTTTATTATTTGACAGCCTCTTTTGGGAAGTCATACTGAAATGCCAGAAAATGACACATTGATAAATACACACAACCTCAAGACCTCATAGGTTCTGTGCAGTTTTGTTCTGTATTTTTGGACCAAAACTTTCAGAATATTTATTATACCTGCTGGATGGCTGACTTAGGGGCTGGCTTTCTATTCTGTAATTTTTTCTCGATTCCCTTGTGCAGTCGGATATAGCCACCCTCACTAACTGAACGCTGGCGTAGCTTGCTTTTGTAAGTGTCATCTTGACTGGAAACGGAGGTCTCTAACTGTGGCTGTGGAATACTCTGCACCTTACATGGCCTGCCACGTTTTCGTTTCAGTCCTTCCTGAGAATCTTCAGTAGTAACATCTGCATTTGCTTCACTGCTCATAATTTGTTCACTGTCTACATTCTGATCAGTATTACATTCTGGTACTGTGCTGATAACAACTTGCTCTGCAACTGGAGGATCACTCGGTACTGCAGATACAGTTTGTTCAGTGGCACATTCCATAACTTGGGCTTTTTCTTCATTGTCAGTTGTTCCATCATCATTTGTTTCTGCATCAGCAGGATGAATTGGTGGCTCTGGAGGATTGTCCACAATAGCCTCTGAGGCACCCTCCAATGTAACTTCTGGGGTAGTAATCTCTTCTACCTCAGTGCCTGAACACGTTCCATTCACAGTTGCTACTGTGTCTTCTGTCGGTAAAGGCTGCTCAGCCCTTTCCAAGAGGTTTGCTTCACTTTCATTCTGTGCCAGGAGATTTTGAGATACTTCTACTACTTGAACATCACCTTTCTGGTACACTGTGATTTGCTTATCTTCCATCTGTTTGTGTACATTTTCACAGATTTCCAGGACTTCTGTCATGAGAAGATGTTGGGCCAACTCAGCTACTGCTGCCATATTACAGAAATCAAAAGTTAATTCTGAAGTATAAGCAAATTCCAGCAAAGGGATGAAACTGGCCTTGCGAAATCCTGCACCAAATAGAAAAGAAAACATAACAGGCTTTTAAAGGAAGATCCTGAATTTATTAATAAATAAATTACTGGGAAATATCTTGTGTAAATTTCCACTGGTGTAATCTGGATTGGGTGTTATAAAGATTTAATGTGAACTCATGGAAAGTTTCCTATTTATTACTTTCAGGTTCTGAGGCTCCCTAGAGTTCCCTTTTGCCTTGGAAAAGCTTATAGGAGCCTCAAGAACATGGGGAGAGCCCTTAATAGTTAAAAAAAAAGCTACTGGATTGCTGCCATCAAGGTTGAGACTAGTGGGATAAGTTAAACAAATAGGATTTTAGCCAGTGTTTTTACTTACTTCCAGAGAGGTAGGAGAATCTTCTGGTCCTTAAAAGTAATGTATTTACTATGACATAAGATGAAGTTGAAAGTATCTGCAAAAACCTTTGCTACTGTAAATTTATTTGTCTTTAAGATGTCCAAACGATCTCATTTTACTTGTTATCAGAAACGGGTAGTTTCGAACTACTTGAGATGCTAGGTCCTCAAAACATTTTTTCTTTGCAAGAAGATATTTCTGAGGCTCTCAACAGAAGATAAAAGCAGTGAGAACAAATCATGTATAGCAAAAATAAAAAAAGATTGGGGCACCTTAAAATGTAACAAACTTATTTCAATGTGAGCCTTTGTGGAGTCCAATTCACTATGGAGCATAGTGGTTAAGCCACATGCAAAGAACATGGTAGAAGGGAGGGGAACTTTCCCTCACAGACTAGCAAGCATGTCCTCTGTACAAAACTGTGGCCTACCTCTTTTGTTTTCAGTTTTCAAGTGGTAGACATGCTGAAATATTAATATGTCAATCACTTTAAAAACCAAAAAAGATGAGGCATTTTGTCTTCAGAAATGGAGGTCCTAGAGATTCTGCTAAGGAACCAAAGAAATAAGGCACTGGCTGAAATCCTGTTGCTCTGATACGCAAATAGTGCAGCCTTTGGAAGCAAACTGGCAAAAGTAATCCTTGCAGACATTATCTGTTGCACACAGTTATGCAACTTGGCATGCAACAGATAACGCCTACAGATTTCTTAACTTAAGGCAATTCACATCTAAAAGTTATAACATCTGTGTAACTGCACAACAGAATTTCATCACAGAAATATCTGTTAATGCTCATGGGCACATGATAAGTTAAGACAGTTCTAGATACCATCTTGAGTAAAGGTTGCCTCTTTTGGCCTCTTGTAGAATGGAGACCCCTTAATACAAGCACAAAGAAAGAGAGGGAGACTGTGAGGCACTTAAGAATCCTTTGTGAGAAGCAATCCTTAGTCTGAAACAAATAATGAAAACATGTTCTAAATTATTTGCCATGCTGTACTCTGAATATTAAGAATATAGAGAATTGCACCACAGATCCTGTTGTGTACCTTCTCCACAGTGAGCTGTATTCTGACTTCTAGAGATTAGAAATGTTGAGGAAGAGTGCAATTTAATTTTCTTAGCATCATAATGAAAATACATAAATACAACTGTCATAAATTTATTTGCCTGAATCCAATCAATAGTTCCCAATTAGATCAGATAGGTGAGTCAGCTGGATTTACATTAAGTCTTGACTCACCAGTCAGCAACTAATTCAATATGTGTCCTTTACTTAGGACTAGTCATTGAATTTGAGCCATTTGTTACAGGATGTAGTGGCCAGAATCTCTTTGGTTAGTTATGCCAGTGGCTAAATGCAATGGCATGAATTTCCACAGGTTAATACATCATTGTTTGTATCGCTTGATACATGCAAATCACATGAGTTTGTTTGTGATGATACAAGTGGCAAGTTGTTCACTAGTGGCAGCTCACAACTATGAGTTGCACTTATGCTAGTGTAACTAACCAACAAAATTTGGGCTATTAAATTAATTTGCATGTTGCAACATAAAGCAAATCTTATAAAATGTTGTCTCTGAAATGAATGATAAATTGTACAGTCTTTGAGTTAGATAGAATCATAGAAAAGTGAAGTTGGAAGGGGCCTACAAGGCCATCAAGTCCAACCCCCTGCTCAATGCAGGAATACAACCAAAGCATATCTTCCAGGTGATTATCAAAGTTTTTCTTGAATGGAGCACTAACCAACTGGTTCCACTGTTGTACTGCTCTAACAGTTAGGAAAACTGTGTAGCTATTGTTTGACCAGTACAAATTAACAATATTAAACCTACAGCAACGGAGCACACCGTCCATGTCAACTCCAAAGATGCAATTCTATTTCAAACATGAATAAGGAGTGCCCATTTACCTGTGTGTATGATGAGTGCACTACTACTAGCAGAGAGCATGTCCTTCCTGCTAGGATACCATTTGATACACTCAGATTTCTATCTACTCAGATGGTGCACACATCAATTTGGTGACTGTGTTCAAATATAATTTAGTGGGTCCTTTGTTTGATTCATGTCCTTTAGCTTTCTTGGTTAAAGCTCACGTTTCTGTCTGCGGTGTTTTTATTTATAGCCACATATTGTAGTATAACAATATCTTACATTTATTATACATTTCAGACCCTGGTTCCAGAGATCTTGTCTTGGTTCTTCCAAGAACTCTGGAGACAAAAAGTGATTTCAGATAATTCTGTAACTCTCCATAAGTTATGGAGCTGTGAAAAGAGCCTGAGATATCCTACAACACGTAATTGGATATTTTAGGCCAAAATTATTTGTTAAAAAAAATGGGTGTATGTCCGAGGGGCTATAATGCAGCCTATGGGCTGCACTCAGACGATGCCTACAAAACAGCAGCCATACATCTTTGGGAGTTATTTATTTAGAGAATTATGTCCTGCCTTGTCTGCATCTGCCTTTAAGCAGAGTTTTACCCATTTCTGCATCACTCAGTTCTTTACTGATTTATGAGGTATGGTTAGCTGCTGCTGTTTTTAAGCCTTTTGGTTAAAATGTAAATTTTTTAATTTAATTTAATTGAACATAAATTAATGATCAAAATTCTCGTGGATCTAAACCTGAAGAAGAGAGGTAATGCTAGTGGCAGGGGCAATAAATATTTTCTCCCTTCTTTCCCATGGCTCGTCCAATTTGCAAGGAATCTGTTTCATTACATGGAAGCCAGGAGCCATGGGGCAGGAGAAAGATGTTGTTATTTGCCAAAAGTCTGCCCTGCAGATTTTGACCCTCATTACATTCATGCTGTAATGAGCCATCCTAGTATCATTTCTTGCACTGAAAGTAAGCAAAATGTATTAAATTCAAAGCAAAACTGGATAAATTTGGAAAAGTAAATCAGTTACTTATTGGTGCAAGCCATATGCACAAAAGAAAATTACATTAACAGCCCAGTCTTCATACGTTCTCAGAGCCTGAGAGTAAAGCATCCTGCAGTTTTAAAAAAGCAAAAGTTGATAATTTTTGTTTTTGTGTAATCAACCTTTTAATCATCTACAGAATTAATACACACATTTTCTTTACCTGAAAGATCCACAACAGCTTCATGGCTGGAAACAGCTCCTTTTTCAATAAAGAGTTCTCTGAAGTACTCACTGTTGGCAGCCAAAATAGATTTGTGTGCTTTATACACTTCTCCTTCAATAAGCAAGGTAACATCACAGAACTGATTGGAGAGACGCTGCTGATTTAGCTGATTCAACACTGACTGACAATGCTTCAGAGAGGTTTGTTTCACAAGACCTTTACTATCAACCTAGCATTTAAAAAAAGTAAGAAACGTAAGTAGGAAGTCCTAAAATAAACCCTTAATGCCAAATTATATTAAATGCTACTTACAAATACAAGCTCATGTTTGGCTATTGGCTTCTTTTTCACAGGCTTTGGTGATGCTGCTGTAACTGATGCTGAGTTACTTATTTCATCATCTGTTTCATTACTCTCTTCATGAGAAATCACATCTAATCCTAGTTCTTCCAGCATTTCAGATGGATCCGACAAAGATCTGGACCGATCTAATTTTTCCTGGCATTTGCTACATTCTTTAATGTAATCTTTCACTTGCTTTAGAATACCTAAAGAAAAGCATAGAACAGTCTTAAGTATTACTTCATTCCTGCAGGAAAAAATGGCCCTGCCTTTACTCTTTCATATGCTACACAGCAGTTATTCAGAAAACTAACATAAGCTGCCTTTTGTTCAGTGACAATGCTGTCTTCCACTAAAATTGGGTGAAATTAGAAACACTTCCAACACTCGCAACCTTTGCTCAGACACTATTTTATTTTTATTTTTTTAAGAATCTGGAGCTGGGTTGTATCTATGGAATGGGGACCAGTGGAGCTACAGCGTTGGTTTTTATATGAGTATATCCCAAGCTTTATGAGATACAGGATACTCCTTCTGCTTGGAACTAGTAAGGACTGTTTGGAGATAGGCAGCATCTGTATTACTTGGCATTTGAAAGTCCCAATCCCTGTTGAAGTACTGAAGTGCTGTAAAGAGACCAACATCACCAAGCTATATGAAATCTTTTGTCTTTGCTGGAGGGAAGGTGGAGTACCACAGGACATGAAGGATGCAAACATCATCACATTGTATAAGAACAAAGGAGACAGGGGTGACTGCAATAACTACCGTGGCATCTCTCTTCTCAACGTTGTAGGGAAGTCACTTGCCCGTGTTGTGCTGAAGAAGCTCCAGGTGCTTGCAGATAGAGTCCATCCAGAATCACAGTGTGGATTTCGAGCTATTAGATCCACCCAGTATTTTCCCTCAGTTGCAGGAGAAATGTAGGGAATGATAGCCACTCTTTGTGGCCTTCATAGATCTTACAAAGGCCTTTGATTTGGTTAGCAGGGGCAGCCTTTTTAAAATACTTCCAAAGATTGAATGTCCACCTTGACTCCTTAGCATCACCAGGTCCTTTCATGATGGAAAGCTCTTTAATCTCTCTAGATTGAGAGTGAAGACCAAAGTCCAGCTGAAATGCATGGGGGACTTCCTCTTTGCAGATGATGCAGCTGTTGCTCCCCATTCTGCTGAAGAGCTCCAACTTATGAATTGTTTTAGTAAGACCTGCCAAGATTTTGGATTAACAATCAGCCTGAAGAAAACACAATTCATGGGCCAGGGCATGGACCCATTACATGGGTGGGCAATTAATTTCTATAGGGGGGGTACATGAAAAATCTGAACTGTGTTTGGGAGCCAAACCAACTTTACTTAAAAATAAAATGAAACAGTGATGTTATGATTGTTTTTATTTTAAACTTGTTAATCTTCACAAATACTAAAGAGTTTTTTTGATGTATGTTAAAGATAAGCAACTGATCAACTTTAGACAAAAAGCTATAAATGGTTTTGATGTTCAAAACTGTCCGCGGGCCGGACAAGAGCAACTTGCGGGCCGCATGTGGCCCTCGGGCTGCGGTTTGCCCAGGTCTGCTCTATTACCACCTCTACACAAGAACTGGAAGTTGTTCATGATTTCGTGTACCTTGACCCAAAGATCGCTGACACTCTCTCCCTAGATGTCGAACTGGATACACGCATTGGCAAAGCAGCTACCATGTTCTCTAGACTCACAAAGAGAGTATAGCTAAATAAGAAGCTGATGGCATATACCAAGATCCAACTCTATAGAACCTGTGTCCTGAGCACACTCCTGTACTGCAGTGAGTCCTGGCCTCTTTGAGCACAGCAGGAGAGGAAGCTGAACACGTTCCATATGCGTTGTCTCTAACACATTTTTGGTATCACCTGGCAGGACAAAGTTCCAAATAGAGTAGTCCTAGAACAAGCTGGAATTTTTAGCATGTATACATTACTGAAATAGTAATGTCTATGTTGGCTTGAGCATGTCGTGGGAATGGCTGACGGTCGGATTCCAAAATATCTCCTGTATGGAGAATTAGTGCAGGGAAAGTGCCCCAGAGGGAAACCACAGCTGCGATCCAAGGATATCAGCAAGTGGGATCTGAAGGCCTTAGTAATGGACCTCAACCAATGGGAAACGTTGACATATGAGTGTTCAGCCTGGAGGCAGGTGGTGCAGCATGGCCTCTCCCAATTTGAAGAGACACTTGTTCAGCAGGCCGAGGCAAAGAGGCAGTCCCGGACGCAGCAAAATCAGGGAGTTGGACAGGGGACAGATTGTATTTGTCTTCAGTGTGAAAGGGATTGTCACCCTTGAATTGGCCTTCTCAGCCACACTAGACGCTTTTCCAAGACCTCTATTCAGAGCACGTTACCATAGTCTCTCGAGACTGAAGGATGCCTACTAATGAAAGGCCCCAAGTAAAAATGCTAAAATTACTTTCTATTTGCCTAGCTATAAGATACATGCAGAACATAATCAACTATTTTAAAATGTTTTATATCAATCCATGTATAACTTTACATATTATTTCCTTTACTGTGTTCTATTTGCATTGTGTCTGATAAAACATTCTCAGTAAATCACCAATTACTCAAGTTTTTACTCATTACAGATTTTTGCTCTCCCCTAACTTCTCTTTTTTAGGGGACGTGGTGGCTCTATGGGTTAAACCGCAAGGTTAGGCTGCAAGGTTGAAAGATCAGCATTTCAAATTCACACGACAGAGTGAGCTCCCATCGCTTGTCCCAGCTCCTGCCAACCTAGCAGTTCAAAAGCATGTCAACATGAGAGTAGATAAATAGGTACCATCATGGTAAGAGGGTAACAGTGTTACATGACTAGTCGAGCTGGCCACGTGACCACAGAAACTGTCTATGGACAAACGCTGGCTCTACGGCTTGGAGACGGGGATAAGCACCGCCCCCTAGAGTCGGACATGACTGGACAAATTGTCAAGGGGAACCTTTACCTTTACTAACTTCTCTTTGCAGTTCATTCCAGTTGATATGGGTCTTATCATTGAAATTCATATTTTATTTACAAGTTCTGATATCTTGTCATGACCAGTATGCCAATCAAAATTAAACTGATATATACTAGCTGATTTTGCTTGGCACCAAGGGTGAATTTGGGAGATATTGAACTATTAGAGCTTCCTGTGTGTGGTTTAGTCTGTATCATTGTTTCATGTGTTTACAACAGCTGAACAGGGCAGCTGGTGACATGACATTTTGGAGATCCCTCATTCATAGGTTTGCCATTAAGTTGGAGGCGACTTGACAACATGTGACAACAGTCACCTTACAAACAACATTAAAGCAATGCTTTAATCAAAGCAAGCAAAGTATCTCCCTGACAAATATTATCCTGCTTAATATCACCTTACTAATCTAAAAATTGTGTTTTGTTTCTGTGTCCTGTTATGTTTGGGCATCTAGGGTAAGAATCATTAAAACAATACTGACCAGTTATAATTTTTACAGCCCTTCAAAATAACATGAAGTCCTTTAAAAACAAACTATCTACAGTGGATATAAAAAGTTTACACACCCCTGTTAAAATGTCAAGTGTCTGTGATGTAAAAAATGAGGCAAAGATAAATAATTTCAGAACTTTTTCTACCTTTAATGAGACCTATGAAGTGTACAACTCACTTGAACAACAAACTGAAATCTTTTAGGTGGAAGGAAGTAAAAATAAAAAAAATGAAATAATATGATTTAATCTGTGTGCACACCCTCTTATAATGCAGCTGTGTTCAGCAGTAAACAATCACATTCAAACTCATGTTAAGTAGGAGTCAGTACACTCCTGCCATCATTTAAAGTGCCTCTGAGTAATCCCAAATAAAGATCAGATATGCTAATAGGTCTTTCCTGACATTTTCTTAGTCACATCCTACAGCAGAAGCCATGGTCAGAGTAACTGCCCAGAGTAGACTTTTGGTCTAGATGGGCGGGATGGAAATCCAATAAATAAATAAATAAATTAAATAAATGATCGGCAGAGAGCTTCCAAAGCATCAAAGGGATCTCATTGTTAAAAGGTATCAGTTAGGAGAAGGGTACAAAAGAATTTCCAAGGCATTAGATATGCCATGGAACGCAGTGAAGACAGTCATCAAGTGAAGAAAATATAGCACAGCAGTGACATTACCAAGAACTGGACGTCCCTGCAAAGTTGATGAAAAGACTAGAAGAAAATTGGTCAGGGAGGCTGCCAAGAGGCCTACAGAAACATTAAAGGAGCTGCAGGAATATCTGGCAAGTACTGGCTGTGTGGTACATGTGACAACAATCTCCCGTATTCTTCATATGTCTGGGCTAAGGGGTAGAGTGCCAAGATGGAAGGCCTTTTCTTACGAAGAAAAACATCATAGCCTGGCTAAATTTTACAAAAACACATCTAAAGTCTCCCAAAAGCATGTGGGGGAAAGTGTTATGGTCTGATGAAACCAAGGTTGAACTTTTCAGCCCTAATTCTGAAAGATATGTTTGGCGCAAAAACAACACGGCACATAACCAAAGGAACACCATATCCACAGTGAAGCATGGTGGTGGCAGCATCATACTTTGGGGCTGTTTTTCTTCAGCTTGGACAGGGACCTTAGTCAAGGTAGAGGGAATTATGAACAATTCCAAATACCAGTCAATATTGGCACAAAGCCTTCAGGCTTCTGCTAGAAAGCTGAACATGAGGAGGAACTTCATCTTTCAGCATGACAACGACCAAATCAACAAAGAAATGGCTTTGTCAGAACAAGATTAATGTTTTGGAATGGTCCAGCCAGAGCCCAAACCTGAATCTGATTGAATATTTGTGGGGTGATTTGAAGAGGGCTGTGCACAGGAGATGCCCTTGGAATCTGACACATTTGGAGGGTTTTGGAAAAGAAGAGTGGGCAAATATTGCCAGGTCAAGAATTGCCATATTGATAGACTCATACTGAAAATGGCTAGTGCTATAAAATCAAAAGGTGCTTCAACAAAGTTCAAGGGTGTGCACACAGATAGTAAAGGTAAAGGTTCCCCTTGACATTTAGTCCAGTCGTGTCCAACTCTAGGGTGCGGTGGTTATCCCCATCTCCAAGCCATAGAGCCAGTGTTTGTCCGTAGACAGTTTCCATGGCCACATGGCCAGCGAAACTAGACATGGAACACCATTACCTTCCCACCGTGGTGGTACCAACTCGCATGTTAACATGCTTTCAAACTGCCAGGTTGGCAGGGGCTGGGACAAGTGACAGGAGTTCACTCCCTCATGTGGATTTGATCTTACGACTGCTCCCCTGCACACAGATGCAACCATATTATTTCAGTTTTTTTAATTTTTACTTCCTTCCACCTAAAAGATTTCAGTTTGTTGTTCAAGTGAGTTGTACCATTCATAGGTCTCATTAAAGGTGGAAAAATATTGAAATGATTTAGTGTACCTTTGTCTCATTTTTTTTAACATCGCAGACACTTCACATTTTAACAGGGGCGTGTAAAACTTTATATACACTGTATTATATAAACGCTATATGAATACGTTTATTTTCCTAGAGTTTTGGTTTAATTCCTCCTGGCATTCTAAACTCTCCCCAAATTGGATCATCATAAGCCAGCTGAAAACCTAAGGAGTCGTTCGCTTTTTATTTTCATCAAGGCTGCAGACTTCGCCCGAAGAGTGGATGACCGTAAAGAGCCCCATCGGTCAAAACGCGCCACATCTCTCTAGACCTCAAGGAGGGAGAAATCCCGGGTTTTTCAACACATTTAGGACCTCCGAACAGCCAACGTCAGGGTGGCCTGGCTTCCAAGAGGGGCGCAGCGGCCGAGCCACCCCCCCCCCCCCCCAATCCCCGTCGGTGCTGCTGGTGCGCTTGTCCGTTTGCGTGTTTTAAAGTCGAAACCCTCTGTCACGGAAGTCCACTTCAGGACACTTTCCGCGCGCCCCTCCTCCTCCTCTCCCCCCCTCCCCTCCCAGACCGGAGAGGAGGCCAGGCTGACTGGACCAGGGGCGGCGCTCCCCCAAGGCGGGGGGCAGGGGTGTGGCGTGTCGTGTCACCGCGCTGTCGTGAAGCGAAAAACCCCCTTCGCCCTCAAGAGCGCGCTCGCTCGCTCGCCGGCCCCAGTCCCTCAGCTGCGGCCATGCCCGGTCCCAGCTCCTCCTGCCGCCGCCGCCACCTCATTCCCCTCCTCCTGCCGCGCTCTCATCCCCCCGCCGGCCCTTCTCACCTCGCCACCAGTACCGCCTGGAAAGGCGTTGCCAGGTCTGCAGGCGGGTCCGGTGCGAGCCGTCGGGCTCCAGGTGGGCGGCCCGAATGAGGCGGCCGCGCCGCTCGGCCTGCAGGACCACCTCGAGCTCGGCGAAGCGCTGCTGGTCGCGCTGCCGACGCTGGTAGTAGAGGGTGCCGCCGCGGACCACATAGCAGGCGGCGGCCTTGCGGATCTTGCGCTTGGCGTTGCCTTCGGTGCCCGGCGCGTAAGGCTCCCGCTCGTTGGTCAGGTAGCGCAGGATGGCCAAGTAGCTCTCCTCGCTCGACATGGCGGGGTTGGAAGCAAGCGGGCGAGGGAGAGGGCAAGGGAACCCCCCCTCCGTCAGCCGAGGAGGGGGGTTCGGGGTGGGCCAGCCGTTTCAGGGAAATGGGGGGCGAGGAAGGAGGGCTCCGCGGGTGGGTGGGGGGCGCGAGGACTTAGGCGCCCTCGGGGATGAAGAAAAAAAAGTGGGCTGGCTGGCTGGCAGAGGAAGCGCCTCGGTCCTGTCACAGGTGTAGGGGGGGGGAGAAAAATACGAACCTGGCCGTGGGAATGGGAAAAGCAAACGGAGGCTGGGAATAGCAAAGGGGGGGGACGCATGCACAGCAAAAGGGGGCAGAAAAAGAGGAAAAGCCTAAGCCGTCGAGTCCAAAAGGAGTCGGGCCCCAGGGGGTGGAACTGGAGTTTCGCGGTCCGTGGCGACGGGTGGGAGGAAGAAGCTCGGGCAGCGAGCTCAACGGAAAGACAAAATGGCTGCTGCACAAGCGGAAGTGAGGTCTAGGAAGATGTAGCCTAGCCCTTAACGGAGATGAAAGGGGAAGTGGTTTGGAGATGGGCGCCATGTTGGGGTCGGGCAAACGCCGCCAGTCTGCGCTAAGACGAGCGAGTGATTTTTTTTATTTGTTGTTTTAAATAGGCCATGATAGAGCCGTGGGCGTGGTGATGAGTGTTTTTTTGGCTCTGGGCGGAAAGGTCCCCCACCCAGCCCTTGAAGACTCCAGTTCTGAAATAAAACCTACCTCGACAGTCTGGAGATTGCGTTAAAATATATTTTTGTCTTAAGCGATCTATTGAAGCGGCTTCGAAGGACTAGGAATTGAAAATGGGGGAAATGAAATCAAATTTATTTATGGTGTCTGTTGACATAGCCTACTGCCATAGCAATAAACGACATCTCCCCGTCTCACATTCATGTATAATGTGAATAATAGAGGACGCATTTTCGTGCAGTTCTACAGGCAGTCCTCAGAAACTGCCCTCATTCTAGTTCTGCTTCCATTCAAACGTAGCCCTTGAATTATACAAGTAAATAAATACAAGTTTACAGAATAGTGCGGGTCTACTTGTTTCCTTTCCCTCTTCTTATTGCCTTTGTATTGCTTTTTGCATTATTATTATTTTATTATTTTGCACTATAGACCTGCAGACACTGTTACTGCACTTTTGGAGCTACGCTATTCATGAATTAGGGCAAAGCGAAAATAGATAAAAAAGCAAAGCATCACACATCAGTGTAAAAAGGTAAAGGTTTCTCTTGACAATTTATCCAATCCGACTCTAGGCGGCAGTGCTCATCTCCGTTTCCAACCCATAGAGCTAGCGTTTGTCCGCAAACAATCCTCCGTGGTCAGGTGACTAGACACCGAACGCCGTTTCCCTTCCCACCGAGGTGGTACCTATTCATCTACAGTACTAGCATTTTTACGTGCTTTCAAACCCCTAGGTTGGCGGGAGCTGGGACAAGCGACGGGCTCACTCCATCATGTGGATTCGATCTTACAACTGCAGGTCTTCTGATCTTGCAGCACAGAGGCTTCTGTGGCTTAACCCGCCTTTAACCCTCCAATTTCAGTACAGGGTCAAACTAGTTTTAATTCAAATTATATACACAGCCTTTAAAAATACCAGTTTACAGCAAGTATGAAAAGAGCTTCACAATAACCCCAAATGCAGTATAGTGGTGCCTCGCATAGCGACGATAATCCGTGCAGCAAAAATTGCTGCAAAGCGATTTTGTCGCTATGCAATATTAAAAAGCCCATAGGAATGCATTGAAACACCTTCAATGTGTTCCTATGGGCTTCAGGCTCACCTTTAAGCGAAAATCCTCCATACGGCAGCCATTTTCGCTGCCAGTAAGCAAGGAATGCGTCCCAGAAAACAGCGGGCGGCCACTTTTTTTACCCTGTGGCCATTTTGGAACTGCCGATCAGCTGCTAAAAAATCATCACTTTGTGATGATCAGTAAGCGAAACAGGGTACCGATCATCGCAAAGCGATTTTTCCCCATAGGGAACATCGCAAAGCAATTGCAAAAGCGATCGCAAAAAGTTAATCGCTATGCGATTTCATCGTTAAACGGGGTGCCCGTTAAGCGAGTCACCACTGTATTTAAAATCCTTGAGGGGAATGATCTTGGCACTACACAAACACCTTTTAGAACATTTCATCAGTTTTGTCGTTCTATTGCATCTCTCTTCTACCTCCATCATTTGCCATCTTGCATTTATTGATTTGCATGAGTTTGGGTCTCTTTTGTTTGCTGTTTTAACTCAGTGTTTACTATTGAATTGTATTATTGAATTTTATGGTGAGATATTGTAAGCATCATTTGGGACCAGAGATTGAAAAGCTTTTCCCCTATTTGTAATGCTGTAATTTTTATTAAACTATGCACAACTTTGAGTACACTGGTTACATGTTGCCAAGTCACTTCTGAGTTACAGCAGGCCTATGAATTAGTGACTTAAGAATACCTAATTTGTGTGAGCTGGGGTTTTAATAACTCTTAAAACTGAATCAGGAAATTTGCTTCATTTTGTATCCCAAAACCCTGCTTATAAGTCAGTTATACCAGTATAAATCTCCAATTCAGAGCAATCAGTGTTGAAAAATCTACTTTTAAATTCACCAATATTGGAGTATTTAGAATGGAAGTGTATGTTGTCCACAGTACACCCACATTGTAATCTAGGATGGACAAGCTGCACCCCCCCCACACACACACATGAAGGTTATTCCCTTGTGAATCACCTACAAGAATTAATATTCAGTACAACATTAAACAATGGCACAGTATCCTAGAGTCAGATGAAGCTTCTAAACAGATTAGGTGGAGATAACAGCAGATGGAAACCAATTTGAGTTTCAGGATAAATACAGCTTGATGAACACCATCTTTCTTCAGTTCTTTAATAGAGACCTGGCACTAGTATTTCTCAATCTCCCAAGGAGATTCTCCAGCTGAACATTGTTTTGCCAACTGCTCACACTGCCACCTTGCTTTTTTTAAATCACTATCATGCCAATAAAATATATCTACAAATTGAAATTACTCTTTAAACTATGAAAACAGCACATAATAACTGTACGGAGACATTCAAGTTAGAAGTGAACTGTTTATTTAATGTAACCAAAATAGAACATTGTTAGCGTTTTCCACCAACACGAGGAGCAGAAACTTTCACAGGCTTGACAATTTTTTGCTTTGGGGCAGCCTTGGTAGGTGCCTGCAAATAAAGGAGAAAAAAAACCAATCAAGAATGAAAAAATGAAAATACATTATCTATGGTGAAGTTGTCATTGTGAACTAGGACAAATGTTCTGAAAACATGAAAAGGACTTTTCAAAGGTCCTTTACATCAGACTGAGTAGCAAAAGGAAAGCCCCTTCATTCTTCCTCACAAAAGTGTTTTAATGACTACACAGATTCTATGCTATCGCTTCTTGTTTATACCACCTGAATTAACCAAACAGACCTGTACAACTTTCACAATATCTCAGTATTTTAAAGCTTACTGTAGCCCAGAAGGGTGTATATTCCCAGCTGAGTTGGCTGCAGATGAGAACAAAAGCAGAGCACAATAGGCATATGACAATGTATGAACTCTGAATTAATAGGTACTTATGAACCCTATAGCCAAACTGAGAGCTACAACGTGTTCTGCATTTTTTAGAAAAGAATCACCATAAAAATGAAAGACTGTCATATATCCTACATTTCCATCAATCTATGGAGAACATAATTACCTTTGTTGTGGAAGGTACAGCTTTCTTTGTTGCCTGTTTGGCCTTCTTTGCTTCCTTGGCAGCTCTGTTAATTACATTGAAAAGATAGACAGTGATGTTCTGGATTTTCTTCAACATACAGAAAATAAGCACAGGGAGCAAAATGCTGGGAAATAAACTTTTTCTCAGCTGAGTGTATCATTCTATTTCCTGGTGTTCAACAAATATGCAGTCACAAACTAGAACTGCCTGCTGGCAGTCTGGAAAGAACAGCCACCCAGTTTTCTTTGTATGAAAATGAAGTCACTGCTTTCAACATTATATAAAGTATTTTATTGCACTTTTGTAAATGGAAACACCTATACTGAACAAACTAGTATACTGTAATTATACACGGGACAGTAAAAGAACATCAGTAAGCAACATAAAATGTTGCCAGGTTCTTCTCCCATGCTAGTCTGGTACCATTGGTGAACCCATAGGAGATGGTGATCAACACCATACACAGTTGAAAGTTAAGACTCAGATATCTCTTTCACAAGGCAGGGTTTGAAATTGAAGTGACAGTGATTGGATAACCAGCAATCAAATTATTCATACAGTGGTGCTTCGCTTAACGATTGCCTCGTTTAGTGATGTTTTCGCTTAATGATGGTTTTTTAAAGAATTCTATGCATCGTTTAATGATGTTTCCTATGGGCGATTTTGGGACCATGCTTCGCATAGCAAATGCATTTCTAGGTCCCCTGTTTCGCTTAACAATGTCCGTTTTTTCAATTTTAAAAGTGTCTTAAAATGTTCAAAAATGCTTTAAATGCTTGGAATCGTTAGTGCACCTTCTAAAACGTGTGCAAACTTGATTTGGCTTTGATCTGACTTTTCGTTAATTTTTGCTGAATTTTTTTCTCCCCCATAGAAAACAATTTAGCTGTCAAAAGTTGGGCTCCATTGTTTCCTATGGGGGAGAAAAAAAATGCACAATAAATTAACGAAGACTCAGAACAAAGCCAAACTAAGTCTGCACCCGATTTAGAAGGTGCTCTAACGAACCCCCAAGGTTGGAGACCACTGCTCTAACGAACCCAAGCATTTAAAACAGTTGCTGACTTTTCGTTAATGTTTTGTGAATTTTTTCCTCCCCCACTGGAAACAATGGAGCCCCACTTTTGACAGCTCCATTGTTTCCTATGGGGGAGAAAAAAAGTCACAATAAATTAACGAAGACTCAAACTGTTTTAAATGCTTAGATTCGTTAGAGCACCTTGCAAAACCTGTGCAAACTTAGTTTGGCTTCGTTCTGAGTCTTCGTTAATTTTTTGCGAATTTTTTCTCCCCCATAGGAAAGCATGGAGCTGTCAAATTTTGACAGCTGTCAAAAGTTGGTGGGGGGAAAAATTCAGCAAAAATTAACGAAAAGTCAGATCAAAGCCAAATTAAGTTTGCACCCGTTTTAGAAGGTGCACTAACGATTCCAAGCATTTAAAAGTTTTTGAACCTTTTAAGACACTTAAATTTGCAAAAATGGACATCGCAAAACCGTTGAAATGCATTGAGTAGGCGTCAATGAATTCCAATGGAGGAAACATTGTATCGCTTAACGATGTTTCCTATGGGTTTTTTCGCTTAAGGACGGCAATCCGTGCCTATTGGAACAGATTAACCGGTTTTCAATGCATCTCTATGGGAAAACGTGTTTCGCTTATCAATGTTTTCCCATAGCAATGTGTTTTTTGGAACCAATTAACATCGTTAAACGAGGCACCACTGTACTGTCATGGAATCTTATCACTTGGAACAACTGGGATTGCAAGTCGTTAAGCGAGGCACCACTGTATTGTCATGGAATCTTTATCACTTGGAACAACTGGGATTGCAACACGATAGCATTTTCCAGGAGAGACTAAGGCTGGATTTTGATCTTAGAAGGCTATCTCATCTTTCATAAATCTGACCTCTTTGTCTAAAAATGGAGCACCTCTACGTATCCTTCCCTAATTTCTTTCATGTGGTTTGCATAGGCAACCAAGTCTGACATTAATTATTCTGATATTAATTACTCTGACATTAATTATTCTAATGACTGGTTCCAAGCAGAGGCTGCATGTTACTTTTTACAGCCCACTTTTCCTAAAACTAGTTGACAGAGCAATTATCAACCTTTGGGTCCTTTGGGAAAGAAAGGCAGAGTAAAAATATTTTGAATGGATGAAGACTGAAATAAAAGCATTCAAGAATATGTCAACCCTGAAACAATAAGGTGTGCAAGGCTTCTAGTACAATGCATCAACTTACAAAGTCTTACTGAACAAAGAATTCACAAACCTGCTTCCCATGGAGTCTATTCCATACCCTTTCTATCAAGCATTAGAAGATTCGGTCTTCCTGATCTCTTGACCTAAGCACAACCCTGCACTGATACTAAATTCATTCACTCAGATGATCTACAAAATGCATGACTCTAATGACAGATTTAACTAGTCGAGCAACTGCATGTTGAGAAGTGCTGCAGGTGTGCTGAAGCCAGTGGCATACCTGGGAACAGGCAGGGTCATGGCAGTAATTTTATCAAGTCCAGGTAAAATTTGTGGACCTTACTCCAGTATTACAAATGCACAGTAAAAGGCCACAATTTCACATTTAACCAATAATCACAAAACAAAGTGATCATAAACAACACAAAGATAATGCTATTAATAATTACTCACCTAATGGCCTGCTCCCTTTGGGCCTTTCGCACTTCAGGCTTCTGATTTCTCTTGGCCATTATTTCAGCCAAAGAGGCACCTGTGATTGCTCTATGGCCCTTGACAGCACGGCGTGTACGTTTCTTTTGCACCTCTTCCTGAACAATGAAAGTAGTAGTATTTTTTTAAAAAATCTAAAATGCTGCGGCACAAAGAGAAGACACACTAAATGCCTGTTTGAAAGGCTCTCAAGAATACCTAGGCAGTTCTTTAAAATGAGAGGCAGTTTTATGAGAGTTAACGGTCTTTTTTCAAAAAATCCAGTCATGGTCGCTGGGAGGTCCATATTGTCCACTCCTCCTTTAAAGGTTTTACAAACAAGGGAGCGTATGTCTACACATCAAAACATTTTTAAAGGACTTCCAATACTTAAGACCCAACTTTATGCTTCAACTAATCGACTGCAGGACAAAATTCCGAATAAAGTAGTCCTAGAATGAGCTGGAATTTTTAGCATGTATACATAACTGAAACAGTGATGTCTATGTCTCGGGCATGTTGTGAAAATGGTATACATTACTGAAACAGTGATGTCTATGTCTCGGCCATGTTGTGAAAATGACCGAGGGTTGGATTTCAAAACATCTCCTGTATGGAGAATTAGTGCAGGGAAAGCACCCCAGAAGGAGATCGATCACAGCTGCGATCCAAGGATATCTGCAAGCATTCTGAAGGCCTTAGGAATGGACTTCAACAGATGGGAAACATTGACATCTGAGCATTCAGCCTGGAGGCAGATGGTGCAGCATGGCCTTGCCCATTTTTAAAGATGCTTGTCCAGCAGGCTGAGGCAAAGAGGGAGTCCCGAAACCAGCAAAATCAGGGAGCTGGACAGGGGACAGATTGTATTTGTCTTTTTTAACAACAAAGGAACTGTGAGAGCCCCCAAACACAGGCACAAACACTACCCTGTCTCCCCAAAAGTAACCTGAAAATAAGCCCTAGTGGGATTTTTCAGGATGCTTGTAACATAAGCCCTACCCCAAAAATAAGTCCCAGTCAAGTGAGACCCTGGTTGTGCAGCAACCAGTAGATGACATGACTGTCTGAATATATTTATTTATTTATTTATTCTATTTATATCCTGCCTATCTGGTCTTGTGACCACTCTAGGCGGCTGTAGATTATTGTACACAATGTAGAATATTGTACATAAAAATATAAAACATCCCCTGAAAATAACCTCTAATGCATTTTTGGAGCAAAAATTAATATAAGATCTTGTCTTATTTTCAGGAAAACATGGTATGACTCACTAAACAGATTGGACCATACAAATCAACTCAGGAAACATTTAAGGAGTAAATTACAAATAAGTTGCCCCTTTTCATTGGTATGATTATACCATATTTCCCCGAAAATAAGACAGGGTCATATATTAATTTTTGCTCCAAAAAAAAGCATTAAGGCTTATTTTCAGGGGATGTTTTTTTTCCATGAACAACAATCTACATTTATTCAAATACAGTCACGTCATCTTCTGGTTGTTGCACAACGGAGGAGGGCAGGGTTTCACTTAACAAGGGGTGTTTTTTTTTTTATCATACAATGGAGGAGGGCAGGGTTTCACTTAACGAGGGGTGTTTTTTTTTAACCAAACCCCGGGAGGCAGTGGAAGACAGAAGGGCCTGGCGTGTTCTGGTCCATGGGGTCAAAACAACCTGGCGTGCTCTGGTCCATGGGGTCAAAAAAACAGTTGGGCCTGACTTAACGACTAAACAACAGGGCTTATTTTTGAGGTAGGGTTTATATTATGAGCATCCTGAAAAATCATACTAGGGCTTATGGTTAGGCTTATTTTTGGGGAAACAGGGTATTTTGAAATAGAATTCTGTGCACATGAAATGAATTCAGTTGGTTACCTCCCTAACAGACTTGCTTAGAATAATGGTTTATCTAAACATTCCTGATCACTTTCAGTTTCAGAAACTCAACACACAAATCACAGCATACTTACAGACTGTCCTTTCTTGTGCTTCCGTCGATACAGAACAGTCCAGTTGATCTGACGGGGGTTTCTCTTGGAGAGAAATGCAGACTCACATTTTGCATTCAAAAACTGGAAAACCTGGAAAATTAAATCACTTTAGTGATATTTACCAGACATATTATTAGTTTTATTGTACTGTATTTATACTATTTACTTACAGTATTATCTTACAGCTACTGTGTTACAATATGTGAACTGCCATCAGCACAATTCATAGATCACAACTCATCCTAGAGCAGTGGTTCCCAACCTTTTTCCAGTTGTAACTCAGTTTTATAATAGCTAAGTAACCAGAGACACCTTCACATATTTGCCAAAAAAGGCATTTTTAATGGAGTAAGAATGCAGAGGCTTCTTTCTCCCCCCAAAGGCCTGTATCTCATACATGCACGCTAAATTTAATAACTGACTGTGAAAGGTCAATAACGAAATTATTTAACAAGGGCTGCAATATATATAAGGCAACCTGTGACACACACACACGGCCTAGAAAACACATCATGACATCCTTGGGGGTCATGACCACCAGGCTGGAGAACAGTGGTCTAGAGGGTTGGACCAAGACCTAACTGAATACTCTTCAAAGCCACCAGCATTGTCTCAGCTCTACTGAGAAAACAGAAATGCATTACATGGGGTTACCTTGTATTATTCCTGAAATCCAAGCCATGGCACAATAGTATTATCTGTTAACAATTCCATTTGCAGAAGGAAGTCACACACAGGCCTGTTGGTCCCACTTTGCCATTAAACATCATAATCAGAAGAGAAATCACACATTAATGAGCTAGCAAATTAGGCTCTCCAGCTCATGTTGGCCCACAATTCCCAGAATACACAACTATCTGCCACGTTGGCTGTAGTTTCTCAAGACTCCCAAGTTCAACCATATTTAGGAGACCCAAGCCTGAAAACCAGGTGGGCTGGAATCCCAAAACCTAAGGACCTCACAACAGCAACCCAATCTCATGGAACAGCTCATAAAGATCCAGAAGTTCCTTCTTGTATTTAGCCATGCTTTCCTTTCTTCCAACTTGTATACGTGGGTTGAGGTGACAGATCTAAACTCTGCCTGTCCAAAACATCCCATATAACAAAATGAACGAGAAGCCTCCTCAAGTTTAGTTTACTAACAAAACCTGTAATTCTGAATTCCCATCTTTCCTGCCAGGGCACGTCTGAAGCTGGAGTTAAAGCACCGCTTAGGTCGGCGGTTACATTTCAGTGTTGGAGCCCCACGCCCGCCTCTAGGGCTATAAAAGGCCCGCCGCGCCGCGGAGCTCTTGGGACGTGGCCGGCTCGGCGACTCCCTCGAAGGCGGGAGGCCCGCCAGCGACCCGCAGCTCCGGGGCCTTCCTTCTCAGAGCCTTACCTTGCCGTCCGTCCGCGCATACCGTCGGCCATGGCCCGGGTAGATCTTGTACCCGCTGAAGCTACACAACTCGACCCTGCAGCGAAAGAAAAGGGGCGCGAGAAAGAAGAGGCGATGAGCGAGGCGAGGGCAGCCCGGGCCCACCCACCCCGGCCGGTCAGACCCGCGGATGACCTCGGATTCGGGCCCCCGGCCCCGGCCCTCACTCACTTCATGATGGCGGCAGCGGGAGCTCCCTCGCCGGCAACTCCAGCGACGAAAAGGAAGAGAGGATCATGGGAAACCGGCTTGTATACTGGCGCGGGGCAGGATGGGAAAAAGGCACGGTGCCTACGGCCTGACGGGAGGTGCTGCGCTTAAAAAAAATAAAAGAAGAAGAAGAAGCCGCTGACTCCTCGATTATTCCTAATATGTGCAAAAAACGATATTCTTGATGCCCAGGTGCCCGAAAAGAGGCACGACTTCGTCGAAAGGCGCTGAAAACCATTTTCGCCCTGACGGAGTCTAACCCTCCAATCAGCGTCCAGGGCCCGCGCGGTTGCCTAGCGTTGCGAGCAAGCGGGAAGTATGGCGGCGGCGGCGGCGGCCTCCGCGAGGAAGACGGAGCAAGAGAAGCCCGCCATAAGCGGTGGGGAAGATACGGAAGGGACTTGCAGTAGGTCTTACTTTCCCAGGGCGGGTAACGAGGAAAAATTGGGGGGAACTCAAAGAGGGGCGTTCAGACAGTTATCTTCTGTTATAAAGGACTTTCGCGGTGGCTTTTGGGAGTTGTAGTCACCCTGGCATCGGATATGGATTGATTCCTCAAGTGTTTTTAAGGTTTGGACTGTAAATCCCAGAGGGCCGTGCGGCACGTCCTGGTTCTTTCCCTTTGTTTTGAGGGAATGGGTGTAATGCGTTTACACTGTACTGGGCAAATTTGAAGATAGAAAGCTGTGTGTGTCCTTGATACGACCATTTACTCTTGAGAAAAAGGAAATAATTTGGTTTCCAGACCTTGCTTATTCTACAGCTGGTTTTGAATATAAGTACAGTACATAAAGTGGATGCCTAATGGCAGGTGCGGTAGGCCATATATATACATGAAGACAATGGTTTGGGGGTGCTTTTATTAATCTGTAGTTTTGTGTCAGTATTTGAAAAGATTCTATGTTAGGGTTTGGCTAGCATGTGGAAGAGATCCTGTTGAAATGAATTTGCGGAGGCTAATGATTTTCAATTACATTATAACTGTTTTATTTCTGCTTTTAGTGTTCAGGTTAAGTAACAGAACACTATATATTTAAAATAATAATGCTAAGGCAGTGCATCTGAGCATGTGAAAAATGTGATGTCCTTAGCCATCAATCTGATAAATATTCCAGAAAAACAACCAGAAGAATGAAGCAATCAATCAACAAACTAACCATTTAAGTGGTCAAATTTGATGGGAGGGGATGTCTGCTGATTGTTTAGAATGTTCAAGGTAGTCATCTTGGGACTGGCAATGCTTTATTCTTGCTGGCAAAGCAGACTGTTTCTTTTTAATTAAGCATGACATTACTGAAAGTGTCACTCAGTGTGGGCAATTAAATCTTACCCCAAGTTAACTGGCATTCTCTTAGATTAAATACTTTTGCTATATTTGTCCTCTTGTAACTTCTCATTTATCATGTATTTTCACAGGTTCAATAGTTAATTTATCAGGTCAAGGGTTGCAAAAATTGGGATCAACTTTCTCCTGTGATGCAGATGTGCATACTTTGATTCTGGATAAAAACCAGTTAATTAAATTGGAGCACCTGGAGAACTGCAAGAATTTGATGCAGGTTAGTCACCAAATGTGCTACAATACAAGGATGCCTTGGTTTTTAATTTATGGTTGCTTCATAGTTATTAAAATGATTTCTAAGTAAATGCTTAATTCCCACTGTTTCGTAACTTTCTTTTTCTCTGCATTTTGGCAAACCACACACTTAATGAAACATTTTGGAATCCATACTTTTGTGGCACACATCTATTTGAATAAATCCATTGTTGTTTTTAGTGCAGCCCCATGCAAATTCTTCCATGATGAGGAACAGCATCAGCACCACAAAGCTATAATCTGTAAAATATCTTTAAATTTATCAAAAAATGTATATCAGCTGAATATAATCTGCATATACCAATGTTAGTCCCTGCACAGTAAACTACATACAGTACACAGAAGGCAACCTGTGGCCCTTTGATCTGAAACTAAAATCACTCTGCAAGCAATCATTTCAGATATCTGTTGGAAATTATTGTAGCCCACTGGAAATGGAGCAAGAAGGATAGTAAAGGGTGTGGTAGAAGAGAGAAAGGAATCACACTGGCCACATGTGAAATGCACACAGCTAGTTTTATGTGTGTCCCACTGCACTACTTTTTCGGATTGTTATTCCCTTTCTACCATAGAAAAGGGATTTCTGAGGTTTTTCTGGATTTGACAAGAGTATCTTATCTGGAAAGTTTCAAGAATGTAAATGTTTCAGAAAAACTACCAAGAGTCTTATGGCGCCTTAAATATAAACAAATCTTGCATATCTGAATGAGTGGGCTGCACTTCATGGAAACCTATGCAGAATGGAACTTGTTCATTCTTAAAATGCCAGAAGAATCATTGTCATCTGGAAGTATGGATGCTGTGCATCCAGAATTCCCTGCCTATAGGGTTCTCTAAATTTCCTGTTGTTACAGTGCTTGGGATCCCTGCCATTTTTATATCCTATCAATGCCAATTCATATAGCAATGACTTCAGTCTCATATAACAAAGCGATAATCTGAAGACTACTTTGATTGTTGAAAATATCTATAAAAGGGGAATTGTGTTATATACTCAGTTTTGTGTTATATAAATACTGGACTGTATTTTAAGAGTGTTTGGAAATTTCAACAGCCATATCGCGAACTGTTGCTCACTGCAGAAAGCATGCCATGCTAATACATTTTTGGGTCACTTTAAAATGCTGGTGTTAACATTTAAATGGCTTTGAACCCAGGTATTTGAAAGAACTACCTAATTCTACTTGAACTATATACACCTCTGTGTTAGTCAGGTGGCTAAGAGGAAGAGATTCTTCTTGAGTGGTGACCATGCAGTTGAACTTTATATCTGTTCATGTGTTCCTGGTGCTACCATTATTCTTACAACCAATAAGTAAAATTTGTTTTTTTAGTTTTAACTGATGAACAAAACAAAAAAGACAAAAAGAATCTCAGCTATTAAAAAGCAGCTCACAACGGATAAAACAGATTTTAAAAGCACTATATAAATATCATATTTGCAAAATAATTAAATACATATTAAGATTTTAAAAATCAAGTTTAAAAGCAATTCAAGAACATTTAAATCCTGTAAGTTAAAAACCAGCATTCCTGAGAATTTACTGTACAAAGGAATGCCAGAAATGGAAGGTAACAAAAAAAATATCAGAGAGAGTAGGCCAACTTAGCTTCTCCAGGCAGTGTATTCCAAAGCCTTGGAGCAGCCAGTGAGGAGGCCCTCTCTTGTATCATCACCAAATGAGCCTGGGAAGGTGATGGAATTGAGAGAAGGGTCTCCTCATCTGGTTTTCCACCTTTGTATGTATTAGTACTGTGAACTGATTCCTTAAAATCATTCACTAAGCCATGAATTTTGTTTCTCAGAATGCAGAAAAAATATCTTCATTTGTCTGACAGATGAAATCAAACGTCTACATCACCATTGCAGCAAAATTAGACCCTTTTTCTTTTCTTACTTCATAGTTATCAGTTGCCAATAATCGACTCGTCAGGATGATGGGTGTAGCAAAGCTGACTCAGCTCCGGGTATTAAACTTGCCTCATAACAGTATTGGCTGCATAGAGGGATTGAAGGATCTTGTGCATTTAGAATGGCTAAACCTGGCAGGAAATAATTTGAAGGTAAGATTCTCTTTTTCAAAAACATGCCAATCTAGCAAGTTCAGGGTTAAGGAAATTATTTTGCTAGGTCCAGGCTTCCCTGATTGAAAAGGGAAAATGCAATTTAATATCCATATGACAGTAAATGCAAAAGTAGGTAATGCAGTGCAGGATGCAAAGTGACACTGGGCTGGTTGATAAGACTGAGGCTTAATCAGGTAAGACAGAAACAGCCCTAATCAGTAAAATAGACAGTGTGGAAATGGAAGTTTAACCTATACTTAATGGTGTATTATTCCCTTTGAAAATACAGGTTTGTAGTCTGAGGAGGGGCTCCTTTTGTAGCTGGCTTTGACCCTTTATCCCAGGTTGCAGCTGTAGCCAAGAAGATTTTTGCTCTGTACAGAATTATTTCACAACCAATGTCCATTTCAGAGGAACTGAACCGTAGTTAAGGCAACTCTTGCTTTAAATCAGAGGTGGGCAACATCTAGAAGCCAGGGGGCACATTGTAACCCATGAGATCTACTCTGCATTCCACTGGTGTGCTGCCAAAATCTGTATGCACAGAAGTAACATCAAAAGAAGCCCTTCACTAGGTTTATCAAGGTCAAATATATTTTTTGATTTGATTTGATTTGATTTGATTTATATCCCGCCCATCTGGTCTATACAACCACTATATGAGTGTTCCTTTGCAATAAGCTATGTAATTCCATGCATCTAATTTTAAATCTAATTTGTTCAAGGTAGGTGTTTTGCTGTTGCTGTAGTGGCAGATTGAAGGACAACAAATTCAACAGCATTATATTCAGCCTCTAGTTTAGTAGTTCTGTGTTAGTTCAAGATGGCATCAAACTTGGAAGCAAATTCTGTAGGTGATGCAGCATTGTTCTGTAAATGGTTCTTTCAGAAAAACGTGCATAATTTATGAAGTTTTTCGTAACATCACTATAATTTGTTTTCTTGCAGACTATAGACCAGATCAATACCTGTATATCTCTTCAACATCTTGATTTGTCAGACAACAATATATCCCAAATAGGGGATATCTCCAAGCTATCCTCTCTAAAGGTGAACACTGTTCAGTTATTGTCAATTTGATTGTTTTCCTTGTTGAAAGACAACTTGGGGCAGGGGGAAGATGCAGAAGCAGCTACAAAGGGCCACACAGAACACCAACTGAAACCAAAGAAAATGTGTAGGTTGTAACTTTCCATTATTATGTTGTTTGTTTATTTTAAGTGGAAAGGAAGTATTTCTATCAGTTGTATCAAGTTTTCTGGGTAGAATGCAATGTTTCACTCTATTCTTGAAAAATAGATTTTTTAGGAAGGATGGAGGGATGCAATGTAAGAGAGTTTCCCTTCCCCAGTTTTGTTGGTGGAAGTAGTGACATGAGTAGCAATATAATCTAATTCAGTTATAGCTTTAGTTCTACTTTCTTAGTTCAAACAATGCTTTTAACAAGAAGAAAAAGTGTGTTTTCTGAGATGTTTAGAGTGATTTATAAATATGAACTACCTATAACATTTCCTTCCTTTCTGCTATCCCATAAGACTCTACTGTTTCATGGAAATATCATAACATCATTGCGTACAGCACCTACTTGTTTACCTCAGAGTCTGGCTATCCTGTCATTGGCAGAAAATGAAATCAGAGACTTGAATGAGGTAAGAATATCATTTCTCAACAATAGTAAGTAATTTGCTTTACTTGCAATTCTGTTGTGTGTGTGTGTTTGGTTACATTTTATTTACTGAACTTTTAGAACCATAGAATCACAGAATAATGCAATTGGAAGGGGCCCATAAGGCCATCAATCCCAGCCCCCTGCTCAATACAGGAATCCAAATCAAAGTAGATCTGAGAGATGGTTGCCTAATATTCTCTTGAATGCCTTTGCTACCTCCCGAGGTAATTGATTACTTTGTCATACAGTAAGGAAGTTTTTCCTGGTATTCAACCAAATTCTGGCTTCCTGTAACTTGAGCCCGTTGTTATGTGCCCTACACTCTGGGATGATCGAGAACAGACCTTTCCCCTCCTCTCTAGGACAATCTTTAAAGTATTTGAAGAGTGCTATCATATCTCCCTTCTTCTTTTCCTAGGACTAAACATGCCCAGTTCCTTCCTTCTTTCTTCATAAGGCTTGTTTTTTTATTCTCTTGATTATACTTGTTTTAGTTTACTACCTGTATTGCTAAAGTGGGGAAGTGCAAACTGAAGCCTTACATAAAACATTATCTGCAGCCTCCAACAGTTCCATGGCCATGGTTTTCTTGGCAGAAATGGTGAACTGCCAGTCCCGGAAACTGTGCAACACTTAACACTTCAAAATACCCATGCTTCAAAACTAGAAGTGGACTTGTACCTGTTTCTGGTTTTGTCTTTTCCATACTTCTGATGGTCTTTGTGACTCCTGGAAGATCCTGGGAGCAGAAAATTGATTCCTTGCCCTGCTAAGGTTTCCAACTCCTGTCTCAAACAATATGGCAAACTACACAAAGTAGCTGATGACTCAGAGCAACTATGGGTTCTGCAATTATATGAATAATCAATATTAGTAAGGAAGTATTTTGGCAAAGCAAATAACATTCTGTGGGATATTTGAATTTAAGATTTATATGATGAATCAGCTGTTTTGTAATCTTTCAGATTTCTTCCTTGGCTTCCCTTCCTGAGCTGGAGCAGTTATCAATTATGAACAATCCCTGTGTGATGGCCACGCCTTCCATCCCAGGGTTTGATTATCGGCCATATATTGTCAGCTGGTGTCTCAGTCTTAAAGTCCTAGACGGCTATGTGATTTCACAGAAAGAAAGGTAAAAAAAATTAGATAATGGGCCAATGAATCTGACGGAACTGTAACAGCAAATTAAACATAACTAAAATTTCTGGTCAAGATTATGGTAGTACCCTTTTTTTCCTTGTAGCTTGAAAGCAGAATGGCTTTACAGTCAGGGCAAAGGACGATCCTTTCGACCAGGCCAGCACATTCAGTTAGTACAGTATCTGGCCAGTGTTTGTCCTCTTACTACTATGTTTGGGCTCCAAACTGCTGAAGATGCCAAACTGGAAAAAATACTACATAAGCAAAGGTGAGAATACTGTATTTTATCATAATTGAGTACAGACTCTAACCGAAGATAATCTGTGTACGTTGGTCTGTCTTCAGTATGACTCTTACCTGTATCCTAGACATTTGAAGTTTGATACACATAGGAAGGGGGACTATCAATATGTGAAATATTATAGGTATTTAATTGTATAGGAAGGGGGACTATCAATATGTGAAATTGTGTAGGTATCTGTCTCATGTGCTCCCAGAGGCATTTCATGGGGCCACTGTGAGATACAGGAAGCTGGACTAGATGGGTCCTTGGCCTGATCCAGCAGGGCTCTTATGTTCTTAAGACAGGGATACAGGAGAATGAAACAATATTTTGAGCAAATTCTTCAAAATGTGAGGAAGGATCCTTCTCTTGAGTATGATAAGGAAAAATGAGCAGAGGGCATGGATTGTGGAGGAGGAAAAGAACAAGTGAAAGGAATAACACTGTAGGAAGGGAAAACAACAGAAGGAAACAGAAGAGGTTCTAGAAGAAAGAGAAAATCATGAGTGGGCACAGAAGGAGAAAGAGCACCTGAGTTGAATAAAGAAAAATGGAACACTTAAATGGAATAAAGAGACCACTGAGTTGGGTCAGTGGGTGACTGAAGGAAAGGAGAGGCTGCCTGACTAGGTGGATGGATGAGGAAAGAGAGAGAGACCACGTTTCTGATATTTTCAATTTTTAAAATGTTTTTGGTGTTAAAAGAAGGGGGAAAATAACTTGTCAGTTTCAGACTAGTTGCCACCCACAGAGAAGGGTGGTTTAGAGAATGCCTTATTCCCATATTTGCTAAATTAGCTACAAGAAAACACACAACGCATAATCTGCTGGTTATTAGAGCCGCGGTGCTCCAGTGTGTTACATTAACAAAACAAAGCCAGTCTCTAATTTTTGTCTTCAGGTTGCATCAGAGACAACTGATGTACCAAAGCCAAATTGATGAATCACCTGTACCGTCATCTCAGAATAAAGTGCACCCTACTACTAGTGAGCCAAACAGCCCTGTCCACCGGCCACAGAGAATGAGTGAGAATGGTAATAATTGTATTTACTGTGCTTTTTGTACTTCTACTCTTAATGTGGCCCATTGTACATTTAGCTAGCAATGAAATATTACTGTTGACTAGGTGTTAGAATGGAATGCCTGAGCTTGGGAGAGAGAGAAAAACTGTAGCTATATAACATGGATGCGGGAACAAAAACTTTGAGGAGAGAGAAAAAGGGGAAACCTGAAGGTTTATAAAGACTGAGACATCCTGCTGATAGCTTGTTCTATTATATGAATAAGCTATATAACTAGGCAAGGCATAAGACTCTCAGTACTACTGTAACTAAATGCTTCATTAGAGCAAGTGTAGGAGTTGTCACTCTTCTACCTGACAAAATAACAGCATTTCCGCCGAAATGGATTCCTCTTCCTTTATCCAATAAATAGAAATTTTGCAGAATATATTTTTCTGCTCATTGAATACAAGATGGCCAGCATTTTTTATTTGTTGTTTTACTGTAATTGTTCTTATTAGTACCAGTAGTTCTTTTGACATTTGCTGGTAATTTGTCTATACTTGTCTTGGCCCAAATTATACTGGGCAGGGTTTCCTTGGTAGTGTTTGTCTTTGCAGATCTCAAGAGTTTGTGTATGTGGTGTAGAGGCTGAGAGCATGAATTGGTAATGACTGGTTTCATGCCCAGCTCATCTGTGAACACAGCAAGTGACAAACCACTGTCTTCTAGGTTTATCCCCTGTGTAGGAGTTGCGTTATTAACCTGCCTTCTGGAATACCTGCAAAGATGACTGAGAAAGGCACTTTAAATGCACTAGACTAGAACACTTCAGAAGGATGTTTTTAATTGGTTAATGTTAATTAGCTTTTAACAATGAAATCATATTCAGGTTTATTCTCTGTATATGCAGGGTCAGGTGTGGTACACTTGTAACAGGCAGGGACACTGGTAAAATCGGTGCACAGACACATTGCCCCCCCCAGTAGCTCTGTCAGGGAGGACCAGGCTGGCTAGTATTTAACATGAAGCTTGTAACAGGCAGGGACACTGGTAAAATCAGTGCACAGACACATTGCCCCCCTCCCCCCAGTAGCTCTGTCAGGGAGGGCCAGGCTGGCTAGTATTTAACATGAAAGATATTCACAGCCCAATTGTAGAACTTTGCTTTTCTCTTTAGGAATAAATGGCAAGCATTCAGTCATGTGGGAGAAAATTAAAAGGGGTTGTTTGGAGATACAGCTGAGATGGAGCTAAACCTATTGGTCATCCCAGCCATTTAATCAAATTTAGGACTTAGCCATGGCCTGCATGCTGGATTGTGATGGGATACTGGGAACAGGTTTGGTAGTATGATTCATAGCCCATTTGCACAGGAAAGAACCACCCTAAGGCCCAGCAGATTATCCCTTTCCTGTGCTCCTTGTTGCTGCCAAACTTCAGACTGATATCGCACAGTCTGCATTGTAATGGATCCAGTCAGTAGGCTTGTCTCCATTGAAAGTAATGACCAGACATTATGAAGGGAAGGGGTTGCAGGATGGGGGCTCAAAAATGTGCTCTAGGCATCCCTTTTTCCTATATATGTGAGGATTGTGGTTTGTGTTCTCTGTTATTACTGACTATTGCTGATGTGAGAAACTGTGGGTCTCTTGATGTTTTTCGACTGCATTTCATATCGTCCTTCACCATTGACTGTGATGGCTAAGGCTTATGGCTTATGAAAATCAGCTAGTTGGCCATAGCTGGTTATCCCCAGCTTACTGAATCTTTGGCAAAATATACCAACAATCTAGTTCTGTTTCATTCACCTTTTTCAGGGCCTGTTATCAAAAAGAACACTTGGGTTTCAGCAAATTCCAATGATGACCATTCATATGCAATTTGCCCAGCCCCAAAGCAAGCTGAAAGAAGTACTTCTAAGGATCTTTATCTGGATGATATACAGACTGATGAAGACAAGTTAAACAGTAGCCTTCTATCCTCAGAATCTACATTTATGCCAGTTGCTTCAGGGCTGTCTCCAATGTCTCCTACTATTGGGGAACTGAGGCTTCATGAAATTGGCATTGATGTGGATGGTATGGGAAATGCTAACTCGGACTGTAATAAACAACATGACGAAGACCAAGATAATACTTTAGTTCTTGGAGAAGGTGCCATCAAATCAGCAGGTGTTGTAGAAATGCAAAAGAAAGATCAGGAGAGAGGCACTTCGTCCACTTCCAGTTTATCAGCAAGTATTGTCAATCCTCCTGCTGGCCACAGCGACTGTCAAGCACCTTCTGAAAGACATGTGGAGTGTGATGATTTGAAGCAATCATGTACCTCTGAAGAGAAGTTATTTAAAACAGTTTCCCTTGCCAAATCTGTAGAACTGTCTCCTTGTGCATCTGTAACTTTAATGCAAAAGGAAGACATTCTTGAAGAAATGAACAAAGCAGCTACCAAGCTTCAAGCCTGTTGGAGAGGGGTTTATGTGAGGAAGCACCACCCCAAAGCTAAGGAGGTGCGCTATGAAATCAGACTCAGCAGAATGCAGGAGCATATTATACATTTAACTGAAGAAGTAAAACAGTAAGTTTGCAGCCATTCTCAAAATGAAAGATATAACGAGGGACTATATTTTTGGATTTATGTACTAAAATCCTATAATTCTTCATCTTCCTGAATTCTAGCTGACAGACAACCTACAGACATCTAAATGTGGCTCACCTGGGAGAAAGGCCTAAACTGGAAGGCTTTGAGGCCTAGCTGGACACAGCTTCATGTTCAGAAGGAAAGCTCCCACCTAGCATTGGGTCAGAAGCAAGAAACTTGGGAAGAACTATACCTCGCTAGGCCTGAAAGTCTTCCAGTTTAGGCTTTTCTCCCATATGAACCACATTTAGATGTGTCTCTGTCAGATAGAACTCCCAGAATGGAGAATTATGGGATTTGAAGTCCAGAAAGTCCTAAATTCCTGGTAACAGCATAGAAATTACATTGGTGCTGTTGGAGGCTTAATATAAATGGTTACATAATTGGTAACTGCTGCTAGGCAAATTGCAAGATACAGTTGTATTCTCCTACCATAAGGAGTCATCTTTTAATGGCTGAAATCCAGTAGTAAGTCACAACTAAGGTAGGCCCATTAAGTCAGTGGAACTTACAGAGGAGTTGAATTGCCAAATCCCCACTGATTTAAATAGGCCTACTCTAGTTGCAACTTACTACTGGATTTCAACTAATGTGTTGTCTCTAATTTGATATTCAGAGCAAGCCGCCTAGAGTGGTCAAAATGACCAGCTAGGCGGGGTATGTATAAATAAATAAACAAATAAGGCAAAAGAGAACTGGAAAAGCTCATCAGTCTCAGAAGTTCTTAGATGTAAAAAAATTACATTTTACTCTGAAGAACAATTGCTTTAATGTTTAATATACGCATATAAAAAGTTTATATTTTCATTATTCTTGAAGATACACCTTTTTTCTTCAGTTTTATTACAATTGTTATAAATAGTAAATTCATTAGTGCATGGTAAAAGGGATCTAATGTAAAAACAGTATTAATTCTATAAAAATCTGCTTTTACAAATCAACAGAGGATGCCAACATTGCTGAAACAAATAGAAATACTGTTGGAAACAAGTTAGCATAGATTTGTACCAGTTTTATGTCTTTCAAATATGTCTACTATTTGTAGATTAAGAAAAGAAAAAGATGAAGAGAAACTTCAAAGGATGGTGCAAGAGGAAGCTGTCAGATTCCTTTGGAATCAGGTAAAAATCTTATCCATGCTGTTTTTTTTAAAAAAACGTATTTCCAAGAAATACAGAAGATAAATGTATATTGTGTTGTATGTTTTTATTTGATGAAGGGATGTTTCAGGAATGTATGAAGCCATGTTTGGCAACAGGTATTATGTATTTCCCATCGTTCACTGGACATGCAATATGTTTTGATGTTTGCAGGTCAGATCTTTCCAGGAGTGGCAGCTTTCAGTAAACGCACATCTGAGTAATATCTGGCAACATGATACTCCTGCATCAAGCATTTTGGGTCCCTCCAAACAGCCAATGGAGTCATCTGGACCTTCTCCTGTTGATATTTCCACCTGGGTAGTTTCAGCTGCTGAAGCTTGTCACCAGAAATATTTGCCAGAATATCCTGACTCGGGCTTCCATTCCTGTGTAACTGACCAAAATTGCCTTAATGAATCTCGTGGCTCTGAAGGACATTTGACAAATGCAAATGAGAGCTCTCTAGTGAATTCTTTGGAAACAGTCAAACCATGTGAGAATTTCCTCGCAGGATGCTCCTCAGACATGGAGGTCATGCTGCACCATGGGGATTGTAGTAAGGAGAGCTTAAATAGTGAGCAGGATAGTAGTCTTCTCCAGCAATATTTAAAATCGGTTGAGCAGTTAGATAGAGCTGATGACAATACAAATGGCAGCAGTGGAACAGAGGGCAGTGGGCCTCATACAGCTGTTTCCTCAAAAGACAAGGGTGTCTTACTCAGCACTGTGTTAGGCTCTCAAGAAGTACATGCATCAGCACAAGATGAAATGGGTCATGCACAAGAAATTTGCAATTTGAATGAAGAAATAGAAGGAAAACAGACAGGCTGTGACTGTTCCTTTCCAGCACTTGCTGTTAGCATTCCTGTGTAGCATAGTAACTTTTTTGTTATTTATACACATTTTTAATACATTTTTGGGGCTGGGGGCAGGGAGGCATGTGTTCCTATACTGTTACAAGCAATCAGCTTGCAGTTTTGCTAATCTTCTGTTCCTTGACTGACACTATGTTAAATCTGTATCAGGTAGGGTTCACTATGATGGATGTAATTGCACTATTTTTTAAGGCAACTTGGAACAGCAACTGATTTCTACAAAATATAATGTTGAAATTTCTGACCACTTTTCCTATTTCCTTAGTTGAACTAAACAATTATATTTTTCCCAGAGGACAAAACATACTCTTGTATTGCAATTCTCATCCTAATAAACTATGGGAAGAAATTAAAATAATCAGTATTTATAATTTGAGGGGCATAGGAGTACAAGAAATTCATAGTTGATAATAATTATTGAATAGCATTTTGGAAATGTGTATTTAAACTCAGGTACTAAGCCACACCTTGGATATTTTATTTGCTAGTCCTGGGTTTGTGTTTGTATTGGCTGGTTCTAAGCAACAGTGAGGTACCAATATACAAAACTTGTTTTACGAACATGGCTATGGAATTCCATGCAACTTCCCTGAACATACACAATGTTTTTCCAATGATGCAGCAGAGCCTGTTTGGCAATTTCAAGGACTAGAGAGAAGGATACATCATTCTCTTCCACTACATTCCAGGGACCACACAAACAGATTTATTCTCCTTTTATGAGGCCAGTACTCCTCTGACAAGTTAGTCCAAAATCAGTGGCTCAGAGACTTTCCCTAAAGAGGGTCAGAGATGTGGGAAGACAGTCTTGCTTGGTAGTATCATAACAACAGGGACTTGGGCTAAACAAGCTGAATTAAATGCCGGGTCATTGTGTTGGTTCATCTCCTTCCCTGCCAACAGTGAGACATGCGGGCCAATGGTTGGATTTTGCTTTACTGCTGAAGGATAATTGGTCGCTAGGCAAGTGACACTACTACATTCCAGTGGTTCAGAAGCCTTGGGATTTCTTGCAGTCATGAACCCTTACTTGTAAGTCCTGCTCCAAGTTGTAACAATCTTCTCCACTCGGAACCCATGAATTTCTTCAGGTAGTGAATATATATCTTCACAGATATTTTCACTCATATGTGTGAATATATCTGTGAAGATTCTCAGTCATCCCAGGTGACATTATCTGGAAGTTGAGTCATGGCAACTGGACTTCCTTCATGTTAGGTTGAAACGTTTCACTACTCATCCAAGTAGCTTCTTCAATCTGATTAGTCTGTCATATGTATTTTCAATGTTTATTATAAGAAAACTGTCACTAAAGACTTCATATTTTTCTATGTGTAAGATTGCCACAGAGAAATTATTTTGCTGTATCAGGTGAAGATGCATTTTGTACACATGCTGTCACTACAGCTTCAACTTTAATCTTCAGGTATACCAGTATTGTATTTTGAAATGGAAAGGTTTATGTTATGGTCTTAGAAAAACAAAAGTGAATATAAAAGGGCTTAATTGAAGATCTACTTAAGGGTCTCACATCCTTATCACAGCTGCCTTTATTCAATATTACCCACTGTGTGTTTTGGTATTGCAGCAATTATTTTTTCCCTTTTTTTAAAGTGCTTTGATTATACTGGCATTGCTTTCTTTGGCTTGATTATAGTCCATTTCCAGTCCTGAATATGAAATGAATCACTGTACATAAAAGTAGCACCAGACTGCTTAAGTATATTATGTAGAAACATGATTGACTAAAGGCCTATTCTGGGATACAACAAAAGAGGCCTAAACACTCAAGGGAATGATTTGGATATAGTTACTTAGGCCCCATTAATTTGAATAGAAGAATACCTTTCAGTGCAAAGGGCAAAGGTTAATGGGACTTAATGCAGATTTTAGTTTTTTAAAATGAACAATTTTAAAATGAGAAATATTTGAGTCTTTTGAGGGCAAATAAAGGGATTAAGATAATCTGCCTTCTGGCTGGCTTGATACAGTATTTTCCATTCCCGCAGAAATCAGTAGGACTTAAAATATTCCACATTTTGAGGCTTAGAGAGTTGCATACTACAGCTTGCCAGAACTGGGCCGTGGAGACATATCTCTGCCCCCGCCCACCCGCACGGTGGCCATGTTGTGCTCGTGTGGGGGGCGTGTCATGCTCACACGGGCTTGTTGCACTCGTGCAAGGATACCCCCCATGCACAGAGCCCACCCCTGCAGCTGGTCCATGATCCCCAAAAGGTTGGGGACAGCTGCTCTAAATTAACCTCATCAGTTTCCGGCTTGCAGAAAACAGACCCTTCTGCACGTACTATCTAACAGTACACTGGCCTGTGAAATTAAAAGGAATTCACAGGATTGTGCAGGAATTGTTTTTCTGGTGTGGTGTATTATTGTGAAGCACCTTTCAAGATATGGATGCAACATGATATTGGAATACATCCTGGGCAAGAAAACATGATTCATAGGTACCATAATAGAGCTTATTCCAGAGGAATACCACATTTTCATAGAAGTTTCCAAGTGTTTACCTGAGGTAATAGAACCAGAAAAATCATATGCACAATGACACTTCTGTTAAAATTCATATAATTTAATGTAAGATTTTGTTTTGCTAATACTTTCATGTGAGCATGTAACAGCAAACATGCTTTTAATAGCTGAACATATGTGCAACATAAAATATAAGGTACGTATACCTTTTCTCAGTGTTTCCATATCAATCTGTTTAAACTATTTGATATTCGTTGCTTGCATAGAACAACACTAGTTAGGAGGCTTTGGTTAGCTTCTGCAGAGTGATATGTAAATTGTTTGTATATATTCAAGAAAGCTTGTAGCATTGTATACAATAAGCCAGGAGGCAAAGTTTTGCCCTGGATAAGAGTAAAGTTATGAAATTGTTCAAATTAACAACATAATAGTTTGTTGATTCACTTGGAATTTTCACTCAATTCTTAAAACATGGTTGGTTGTTGGGAGAGTCAGTGAGAGACAGGCGGGTATGTGTTTTTGATACATATACAATATGTCCTATTGTCTATTTTTCTGAAACTTAAGTTAAATTTACTGGACTAAGTCCAGTGTTAAGCTAGACTAAATTTACCAATGAATTAAATAATCAATGAAATGTATCTGTTTGCTTACTGCATTCCCATTGATTCAGTGCTTTCTTCTATATGGTGTTAACAATTACATTTAAGCTATCAGTTCCTATCCTAAGATAAATCTGTGGGTGCTGTTGACGTATGTTGTGGAAAGCCATAGGAGGTTAACAATTACATTTAAGCTATCAGTTCCACCCAAATCTGTGGGTGCTGTTGACATATGTTGTAGAAAGCCATAGGAAGAATTACAAAGGAACAGCAAGAGGAAGTAACTTTTTTTCAGTGTTGATTAACTGCTGTTGGTGGACTAAATCCAACATTACAAATTAGTATTATTATATGCTGTCAAATCTAATTCCAATTTATAGCAAGCCTTCTAAGATTTTCAAAGCACTTGAGATGTTAAGGGACTGGTTTACCATTACCAGCCCCAGTAGGGTTCTATGGTTGAACAAGGATTTAAAGCCAGGGTTCCTGGCATTCTTGTTTGCTGCAACACACTGGCTCTCAGCCTAGACTCATGGATATAAAGGGAATCTCTTGTGAGTGTAGTCTCATAATGTCTTTGTTTGTGGTTTTCATATAGAAGGGGAATCTGGTACCCTTCTTCTTTCTGTGGAGTTGATGAAAGGACCAGTGAAGTTCTTTTACTTTCACAGTGGTGGTACAATTCATGGTTTACTTCATTCTCATATTCCACCTCACTACTTTTATAATTGTTTCACTTGCCACACTCTGGAAAACATTTTAAAATAGTGCATTAAATGTAAGAGGAGATGATTTACTTAATTTTCCTGTAAGCAGCCTTATCATTGTACAGTAGGACCCTTGTATCCATGGCTTCAATATCTGCTGATTCATTTATCCAGTCTGAAAATCTTAAAAATTTTAGAAGAAACATTCTAGAACTACGCATTTCTAAAGATGAAGTTACCAGAATTGGCCCCAAGAGGGGGTCAGAAACTATGCTATGTTTAGCGTTTACTATTAAACTAGCGTTCGCTATAATCTGTATTTTTCAGCATTCGCGGTTGGACTTGAATCTGATCCCCTGCAGGTACAGGGTCCTAGTATCCTTATGTGTCCATTAGTGTGCTTTCTAGCACTCCAGTTCAGGCTGCTTCTATCATTTGCTTCTTCGTGTAAGATATTTTGGCTAAACCAGATATTTTGTTTAAATCAATGGATTTTGCTTTTCAATAAACAGGTTTAGGACAGAACATTTTAAATTTTGCCCTTCATTAAATTTGATAGTGACAATGTAGTATATTGGCAGCGCTAGCCCATTCAGTACAGATGAATGGATTGAGTCTTGTGTAAAATCTTCAGAGCCATAAGCTCTACTGCTGTTCTTACTGAATTCAGCAGTGAAGCTTCTGTCTCTTTAAGGGAACTGCACACATATACGGGATGGTCTACATGAAAGGAGTTGTAAGAATTTTGTTGATGATATATTTGTGTCCACAAAATGTTATTACCATTGTGCAAAAAGGCAATATGGGTACAAAATTGATAACTGTGAGGACAAATTAAAGTGTTACTTATTGTAAACATAGTTGGTGTAATATGAATTTTATAATGTTGATTTTTTAAAAGAATACTGCATGTTACAGTTTTTGAAAATTTGGAGTTTAGAACTTGTATTGATGTAACTGAATAAAGACATTTTCTAAATTATGTGGAACGTTTCTTAGCTAGCAAAATATTCCCACTCTCAGTTGAGTCTCTTGCACATGGAGGAAGCTGCCAGAAAATTCAAGTGTCTCTCTGTGCCCCATTCAAAGCACAAAAAGGAAATAGTATTAGCTGATGAATAGTAGAATGATGCATACTCCTCCTGTCTCAAATGTAACAAAGGGACATAAGGTCCTTGTAGGAAAGGTGGGATACAATTAAGAAATACAGAACTATTAAAAAAATTGTTTTGGCTTGGAAGTAAAGGGAGAAGAGCCCTTACCTAGTCTTTTGATCCAGATATTCTGCAATCTAAAAGTCAAACACATAAGGGCAGAGGTATAAAACTCACTTTCTCCTTGGGCCACATTGGCATTATGGTTGCCCCCAGGGCTGGTTGTATCTGTAATGCTATATAAATGTATCTATATCATATTAAATATAATCCTCCGCATTCAATTATCACTTTCTGACTCTTCACTGCTTAGAATGCTGGGATTAGAAGGTGGATTCCCAGCATCCTTGTGGAGCATTATGGGTGACGGAGTAAATGCCTGTGTATTTTATACTGCACAGTAGCAGGCAACATTGCAAGGGCCACATGAAACGGGCTAGCGGGCCAGATACGGCCTGTGGGCCTTGAGTTTGACACATGTGCATTAGGTCTATGTGGTTGTCATAAGCTCCTGTCAAAGATGGTAATCTGATACAGTATTTCCCTGATAGGGACTCAGAAAGGTGCAGGTAGAAACACTGGGGATGGGCTGGTTCAGTCCAGGGATTGCACCATCTGATCACCAGAAAAAGGAGCAAACCAGCTCATCTCTGCAGCAAACCAAATATCTAGCTAAATGCCCTCCTGGTTGTACCCTAACTCAGTTCTTGCAAAAATCAGGAATAATTGATTTATTTTGTAAATTTATGAAACTCTAAGGCCTGTTATCCTGAAATTATCACCAAACGAATGACAGAAAAGAGAATAAGTTCTCCACTTAAATGGACTAGGCTAGTAATTCCCACTTTTTTATGGCATTTTTTGTTTAAGAAACTCTTAACATTCCCCCCTAACTTTTATCACCATCCCATTAAACAAAAAAAAATAATAAACTCATAATTTAAAATTAAAAATATCCACCAGAACTTAGTAAAAAATATTTTAAATTAAGAAATGGAATTGTGTAATATATAGAATAGAATTTAAGAAATAGCAGAAAGAAAATGTAATGTGAAAGATCCTGCTTCATCCCAGTCTAGTCTTCCCTTGGAACACATCCCCTTGGCAGCCAATGGACTAGGTTCCATGAGATGTTAATGGAGACTTCATTACCTTAAATCTGGGGCTGCCAAGACAGGGATTTCATAAATGCTTTGACAGTTGTGCTTTGCTTGGCTCTGGCCAAGGATGGACCAATGGGTTTTTTGTATTCTACTGGTGCAATCTTTTTCTTGGGTTTTTTGATACGTTTTATTCCTGTTCCTGCTCACAGCTGGTCTTCACGATACCACCAGCCCCCTTCCCCGCTCTGTTTTGCTCTGGTCTGGTTATCTGCTTTCCCTCCTGTGGGATTGTTTACATTCATAGATCATAAATTACTGCACAAATGTAATTTGTCTCTTAAAGCCAATACATGATTTGAATGCTTTACTTGTGAATTCTGTGTTTCATTTTATTCCATATATCTTGAAGACCTGGACTTGACCCACGAAAGCTCACATTAAAATATAATAGTCAGTCTTTAAGGTGCCACAATGTTTTTGTCTTTTTTGGTTTTGTGTCTTTGAATATTGCCTGATGTGCTTGCACAGACTAACACTACTACCTCTTCTGAACCCTCCCAAGTCAGAGGTGTACTGTATTGTTTCCTGTCGTTTTCTGCCAGTCTAATCAAAATGTATCCAGCCCAGATAGTGGGCCCAAGTGAATAGAAGAATAGTCAGAACAGCAAATAAGGTACCAAGACAAAGGACAACAGTATCCACAACATTTTGGGGTGTGAGTGAAAGGCGTAGAATTGTCGTCCAAAAAAATAATATTTCCGAGCTCCGGCGATACGTTAGCGCGCCATTCCGAAACAACACATCTGGGTGCGTTACAAGAATTTGCAAAAATAACATAAATTAAATAAATTAAATAAATAAATACATAAATAAAAATTGGATTTTAGGGGTGAGGTACAACCCCTCCGTATTCAGCCCTCGGGGAAAGAATACGACAGATCATCTCCCGACACAGGAGCAGCGATCACCAGACGCACCAGCTCTTGGGAGCGCTCCTTTTCCCGACTACCCAAATCCTCCCACACTCCACCGAAAGAAAGCGAGGACCATTTCCACGAAATGATGAGAAGAGGCCAAAGAGGCAGCTATAGCATCGCTCCTCTTTGGGAGCCGGCCAATGCCTGCGCTCGAAATAGAGAGGGCCCGGCGTGCCGAAATCTGCAGGCAGCAGCAGGGCGGGAAGACCTCGAGGGCCGCGGGGCAGCGCCTGCCCAGACCATCGAGGAAGACCCCCCCTCCTTTTCTGGTGGTCTCGTCTTCTTCGCCGCTGAAGCCCGCCTCCGGGCGTAGGGCAGCCAATGACGAGCCGCTGGAGGAGAAGCAAGAAGGGGGCAGACGCATGAGCGTGGCGGGGGAGGGGGCGCGCTCCGCCTCGGTGGGGGTCCCGGTTCCTTCTTGTGGACAAGGCGAATGCCTGTGCTGCGCGCCCGAAAGGCCTGGTGAGTGAAGCTGAGGGCGGCGGCAGCGGCTCCGGGCGGGAAGGTTATTCTCCTTTTCCCCATCTTGGGGCTGAGAGGGTGGAGGAAGAGATGCCCGGGTGGACCCAGCCCCGCGCCTCGAGCTGAGGTCTAGCACTGACCCATGCCCAGGGAGAGAGAGCTCTGATGGGTCATTTGGCAGGGAATACTGAGCGTCCCTTTCTTCTCGTGTGAGTTTGGTTTTGTGGAGCTGCTGAAAGGTTGTCTCTTCCTTTTAGATCTGGAGAGGTCTGGCCTTGTTGGAAGGAACAAAAAGACACCAGTGTGGAATCTCTTGTTAAGATTTCAGGGTGATTCGCAGAGCACCGAGGAAACCCCACCAAGATTTCTGGCTCCATTACCTCGCAGGAGCTGCAAGAAAATGATTCCCCTGCTCATCTGTGCTCCAAATTGTACTGTTAGGATGAAAGAAGCAGAAGGTAATGGGAATGGATTTTTGTGCTTGTAGGATGGCGAGCAGCATTCAGGTATGCTGCTCCAAAACAAATGCCAGGATGCAGACTTATAAATGTGCATCATGAGCAGCAGCACAGAAATCAAAGTTTTAAAATGTTTCGTATATTAAGAATTGCACTGGTACTTTTCAATAGGACAGTTATTTCTTCCTGGGCACATGCCAGTCAATACCATGCAGCTTCCTTTATAAAAGCAGTGATAATTGTATTGCTCCCAAATACATTCTAGACTCTGTATTGAGACAATATCTTTATAGGCCTACAAAAATCATGCAGAGGCACACAACAATGCACAAGAGCAGATGAATGTTGATCTAATTGCCAGTGATTGTTTTTTTCATTCTGGTATTAACCCTTTCTTTGGGATAGTGACAGTTGTGATGAACACAAGATTTTTATTCCCCCCCCCCGCCCCCGGAGATTTATAAAGTTCTGTAGGACTCTTAGAAAGGGTCAGGCAACAATTTATTTGTTCAGATTATTTAGATACTTCAGTAAAAATATATATTTGGGTTTTCTTTGCCTCTTCTCCTGTTTTGCTGGAACATTTTGGAGAATAAACATAAACTTTTCATGTTAAATGGACAGGAGGTGAAAGAAGACAAAAAATAAGGAAGTAGAAGATCGTTGTTAATAGGATGGTTGTTAACAAATTTGGTGTCTGACAATGTAAACATCTGCTGACCCTTAACTCTTTACAGTCTATACAAGGTGAGTCTGTAATTTTATTTAAATTGGTGTAGGCTATGGGCATGTATGATAGATGAATGGGATGTGTGGTTGCCTCTGTGCATGTAGAACAGAAGCAGGAAAATGAGAAAACTTGTTTAGACATAATCTAGAGAGGTAGGAGATTGATCCCAAAGGAGAATATGTTTCTGGATTATGTGCATTTATGTTATGGGGATGAGAAAGCAAGAGGGTGACACTGGGGATTAAGAAATGATAGAAAACTGTGGGTTAAAAAGCATGGGATTTTTGTTTGAGGGATCAGATGTTTCCTCTGGGAATATTGTTTATTTTTTAGTCTCACTATCTATTGTCCTGTGAAATGATTATGCCCACCACAGTAGCCAGAGTGTGAATGGCACACCCCACACATGGTAAACATTATTATGGCTATATCCAAGAGAACTTCCTCTGTGTTTCAGTTGTGCCCACCAGTTAGTGAGAACCTCTACATGGGGTATGTTTTATATTTGAGTGTTGCAAGTTTGAATCAGACAGTTTTCTTAAGGAACTGCAAAATGTTTCTAGAATAAGCTTAAAATTGGTCATTGACTGAAATCCAATAATAAGTACAACTAGAGTAGGCCCATTGAATCAGTGGAACCTATGGAGAAATTGACTCACCAAATTCCTACTTATTCAGTGGGCCTAGTCTACTGGATTTCAACTTTTGTCTATAAGCTATCATCTATTCTATTCATCAGTTTGCTTTGTTGCTATAAAATGCTCACAGACATTCTAACTACTTCAGGAAAATTGTCAGCAGTTAGATTACTGAGGGGAAAACAAAAGCTCAATATGCAAGGTAACATATCTTCAAACAAGGTCTAAAAATAGAAGAAGCTTTCAGTGGAAAGAGAGAATCAGAAAAGAGAGTATTAGGTAGTTAGAGAATGTAAGAAAAAGGTATGTAGACAGTAAAGGCTTAGGAATATTTTGGGAAACAGAATATGCAGTCTATTGAATCATAACATGAGGAAGTGAGAGAAAGAAGATAGGGTTTTAATGCATTTCTGTTCCTGTATTGTTAGAAAGACCTGTTTCCTAGAAAACAAAATTGTTTCATATATCATTTGGCAGTGTAGGGTGGAGAGAGTGCCAAATTGGTAGTGCTGTCATCAACCAATTATTCTTGAGCAATTTAATTCAAGTCACTGAATGTATTTCCCTTTGAGTTTGGATCCAGAGAACACTCAACAGTGTAATGGCCTATTATTTGCATATATATTAATTAAGGCAATAGTAAAACTAAGTTGCAAGGTTGTTTTTTAATGTGATGTATTCAAAAACAGATCTGTCCCAGCTGACAAAAAAATTCTCCTTTTAAAATGCAGTTAGAGCTCCATGTTTAGTGGAATGTGATTGCAATGTTTCTGGATGTCAAATGATAAACTAATTTTATTTAAGATGCTTTTAATGACCTGATCAGAAGTTCACATGTATTATTTCACAGGAAGAGCTAATACAAAAGGAGCCTCCTAATGAAATTTCTTGTGTAACACTAGGTAACAATGTCATTGATGCCTGTGAAATATGGACGTGACAGCATCTTATATGGGTGACAGAGAAATGAAGGGACCATGTGGCCCAGTTACTCCAGGATCCATATTTTGTGCTCGGTTCTGGCAGTGCTGGCTATTCTGGCCTTTGTTCACAACTTCTATCGTTTAGAGGTGAGTTGTTCAGCACTCACAGAGACAACATAATGGGAGGAAACATCACCCTTCTGCACTCAATTTTTCCAATGTTAGATTATTCAGCTAGTTTATGGAAACTGCGTCCATTACTCCACATTTTTCTTTATGTATTAGAAGAAGAGGGCAAGTACAGAGGGCTTGAGGTCCAAATTTGTGGCCTCCTCTGACACCACAGGCTACATGATGCCAGGAAATGGCTGGTTTTGGCAAATTTTGAAAAAAGGAAATGGGAAGTGTCCAATGGGTGATAAAATAATTTGCAAACCCACTTACTTAACTTGTAAATGCATGTAAGATGATTACCAAAACCATTTGTCAGAGTTAACTAAAATTCCCAGGAAATCATGCTGTGGCTATAAGCATCAAGTTTTGTCAAAAAGAAATCCTGTCACATAGCTCCATCTGACTACTTTAACTTCTTGACCAGTGGTTGTAACCAATCAGATTTTGGCCATCCTTACATAGCTTCAATAAGTATGAAAAGCCCCAGAAAACAGCTAAAACACGATTATTTAAAAACCCTGACCACTACCTTTTTGATAATTATGTTTCTTATTGAACAACGCACATGTTTACTGTAAATTATTAGAAATTCAAATGACTGTACTGTAGAACAAAGCTATTGTAGATAAGGGTGTAGTAGGACCATTGTAGAGTCCTAGGAAGGATTTTTTACAGATAGAATTGACAAGCAGAATAAGATGCATGAGGTCCACAATGTAATGATTGTCTCTGTACGATGCCAAAAAGTGAATGTGTGTACAGGACAAAAAGGCAAAACGTACACACACGAGCAAAGGATATAGAACATGTTCCTCCTGTCTGAAATAATGCCAGGGGCTAAAATAGCAAATTTAAACAATTGTATTTATTGCATTTATAAGAAGCAACTGGCAGCCAAACAGAAACAAACGGCAGCAGCATATGAAATGTTGCATAACTTGGCACATAACAGTAAATTCCTATAATGACTTTTCTAATTTTTTGCCAAGACTTGCATCTACTGCTTTATGCTGGCATAAAAATATCAGATTTTGGCCAATAAAATTGTATCTTTCAGTTTGTGAATGTATTTCTGCTGTGTTTCTCCCATCTCCTCTGACCTAGCGTTATTTTTTTTAATTGAAAATTCCTTGGTTAGCTGAAAAGTAGTTCATAAGCACTGTTAGAAATTGAACATCATCAATATGAATTACTTTCAAACCTCTTCCTTCTTTTGTAGAATCTGAATACTGCAGGATTGAAGTGGTTGGTAGAAGATGATAACCAACAGCCCTCATCACAGTTGATTAAAACTTCCCGGAAGCCGTACTGTGGCTATGAGAATCAGGTTTTGTCAAAAAGAGAACAAGAGGAAGAAGCGGCCTTATTTGCTGCTCTACAGTGGCCCAGACCTCAAGAGGATAAAATCCCCTTTGTGAGAAGCACTGACCCCTCACATAGCAACTTTGTGATAGTGAATGCCCATGCCCACTTCAAAGTTGGAGATCAGTTGGAGGTGCTGGTCTATGTGAGGGATTATGAAGGGAAACCAAAGCAGTATGGCGGAGACTACCTTCAAACAAGAATCCACTCTGCTCACCTGAAAGCTGGGGCTATTGGAAGAGTTTTAGATTATCAGAATGGATCATACAGAGTCTTTTTCACCTTACTCTGGCCTGGGGAGGTCATGGTATCTGTGTCCTTGGTCCACCCAAGTGAGGGGATCCAAGTTCTTCAATATTTACGAGAAGAAAGGCCAGACAGGGCCTACTTTAAAAGCCTGTTCAAATCAGGGAGGATTTCAGAAACCACGGTATGCAATGTGTGTTTGCCTGGAGATATGCCAGTCTGTAACTTCACAGATCTTTACACGGGTGAGCCGTGGTTTTGCTATAAGCCAAGAAAGCTCTCCTGTGCCACCAGGATCAGCCATTACAAAGGGGGATATCAGAAGGATCTTTTGACCTCAGAGGAGAGTCGCCTTTTCCAAAGGTATGTATTTAATCACTTGTGTTGTTGGTGGGAGGTCCTTGATTAAGGCTGTTTTGTAGGCTGAAACTGCCCATGGAAAGAGATGCCAAGCAACTGACAAAAGTGACTGTATGTTATCTGTGCTGCTCAACCTTAAGGTTTCTAATTTTGCCTGAAAGTTATAAAAGAGGCCAGTTCAATGTCTAACTCTAATTCGGTTTTCAGAGGTTCCTTACTCTGGCGTTTTGCTGCTTCCATTACTAAGTGTATCAGATTTGGCCATAGTTGTTAACAATAGAAATGTAAAAATTCTGAAAATTTCCAAAAAAACATGCTTAAAAGTGTTTTCATTTTATATTTTCTTATTATAAGAACTCTGGTGTTAACAGGCAGCATAACATTATAGCCTAATTGAGTTGGAATTGGCCTATAAGGCCATGGAGTCCACCCTCTGCTTAGTGCAGGAGTGTAGTAAGTACTTTCAACTGAGATGAGTTAACTGTACTATTGGAATATTATTGACATTGTTAAATCCTGTTTTGAGCATGCTTCACAGTCTGAAGCTATGAAAATCCAATGACTTTAATTAGTGGGGGCATTTAACCTAACTGGCTTTGTTTTGTTTTGTTAATTACAAATCCAGTGAAGACTGGAAACAGGCAGGCAGGAAGACTTTAACCTTTCATGTCCTCTGCTACAATCTTGAATAAAACCACCTCTTCCCTCCCAGCTTCTGTTTGTATAAAGGAAAGCTTCCATTGGTATTAAAAGGAACTTTAGGGAGGAGGTTTGGGAAAGCATTAAATTCTCTTCTTTATACAGTTCTAGATCCTGCATGGATCTATAAACAAAAAAACAGCCCTGTCATTCTTCCCTGCTTAGTGTACAGGAAAACCTTGTGATCTGAAACAGGAGAATTAGAGATTATTAGGAAGGAGAGGCTGGAAGAGAGTACCAGTACTCTTGTATTAGGATTCCCACCTCTGCTTAGACATTGAAGGCATCTTGGAAGACTGGACACATCTACTATAAGCCTGGGCTAAGGAATGTCTCCAACTTGTAATGAGAGATATGGTTATTTATTTAGTATATATTATCATGTATATCAATGGTTCCCAACCTTGGGTCCTCAGATGTTTTTGGGTTGCACCTCCCGCAAGCCCTTACCAGTACAGCTAGTGGTGAAGGCTTCTGGGAGTTGCAGTCTAAGAACATCTGGGGATCCAAGCTTTGGAGCCACTGATTATGTCCTATCTTTCTGATTTAAAGAATACATAGTGTGTCTTACAAACATCATGATTTAAATAAAATGTAAAGCCAGGTAAATTCCTCTGTTGTCAATAACTATCAGTTGTTAACAAAACAATTTAAATGGCCAGTTTGACAGGCATGTACAGTATTTGCATTATTCCTGAAAGCAGCAAGATTAAGCATGGATTGCAACTCACAGGAGTTGGGGGAGAGGGGCCTTCCGCAGTCTGAGAAAGGGCTGAGAAAGCTCTTTCCTGTATGCTCATCAATGTGTTTGGGACTGTCAAGAGCAGTGGTTCCCAAGCTTGGGTAATGCAGGTGTCCTTGGACTGCAACTCCCAGAAGTCTTGACCACTAGCTGTGTTGGCTGGGTTTCTGGCAATTGAAGTTCACGGATAACCAGGTTACACAAGATTGGGAACCACTGCTCAAGAGGACTTCTGAACACCTTAACATCCAAACAGATTCTCAGTGAGGCATGTGGTACCAAAGATAGCCAGACCCTGAGTTGTTCAGGGGCTGCAGCATGTAAAATTGATGCCTTGAATTGAGTCTGGAAGGCAAGTGGCAGTCAGTGGAAAAGACGACAGAATCAGATCTCTAGTGTACTACTTGTGTAGTTAACATATGTAAGCATTAAAAATAATTGTCTTCTGATTTGTGTGTGTGGTTTCTTTTTAATTTAGTGATGTGAATATCAAAATGCCAATCTCCTCCAGCGGCCCTGATACTGTGATCGTAAGGCCCTTGGGGCATGCAGGTAATGCAAGGATATCTTTTGAAAAAACTTATTTTAAACACTAAAGCGTTGTTCACATTTATACATTTAGTCAATAAACATACCACATTAATATAATTAGATGTCAAAGAACATTTTGGCTAGTGGACTGCGGTCAGAGGTTAGAAACTTAATTTTTCCAATTTTATTCCTACTTTCATGATGATATTTATTTAAAGCATAATTTAGCAGTTTTTGCATTTCTGGATTAAAAATGCTTTAGGTCTGCTATTTCAGTGCACCTTGTGACAAGCCTACATTTCTAGTAAGTATTATGGCCCTGTGATTGGGTTCTTCTTGATTTGGTGATGGCTCCTTCATTTTGGCGGGAATGAGAGACCCTTCACTTCATCTTCCTCTATCCTTATGAGTTCTCCCTCTACACAACCGGATGTCTCCTCCTGCCTTTCCTCTGTTGACGACGGCACACTCTCTCTCTGTACATCACAACATTTCTAGTATGGCCCATATACAGCACTGCAGATAGGAGCTGAAAAAATAGAGTTGCAGCTTCATGGTTGTAGTGGGATTTGAATTTTCCATTTGATAGGCTGCATTCTCAGCAGTTATGACGAACCAGGCATAATGCCAGTCAAAACTACATGGTCAAATCTATCTAAGTCAGATAGATATCAACTCAGCTGATCAGACAAATTGATTCAAAGCTCATTTTAGATCTGTTGTATGGCTTCTAGGTTACAAGCCAAAGATGCCTCTACTAGATTATATATGCTATGATCTTCAGGCTTACCTTTCCAATTTAAAATGTAAACTCATTGGCTTCCATGGGGAAGGCAAGACAATGTTCAGTTGCTTCTGTCTGGCAGCTAATGAATCCCTGCTGGGATTCTCGAGTGCACACTGAGCTGGCAGGTGTGCATGCCCCTGAGAATCCCAGTGGTGACTTGTTAATTGCCAGCTAGAACCACCTGAATGTTATGCTGTTTGGCTTTTGCATGCATACCAAAGGAGCACAATTTCAACCATTGTCTCCTGGCACTTTGCTTTGAAGGAATTACTGGGTTTCCCAAAGAACGTAAGATGGTACCAGCACTGGACAGGTGAACCTATGTCACTCATTACCTATGATCTCAAAAAGCATTCTCTGTTCTAGTCTTCTTGATTCTAGCAACCAAGTATTGGCAATAATCCAGCAAAGAATTAACTAAGGTATGTTTAAGTCCCAGTCAGGGTATGTGTATAAGTGTTTTGAGTGCTGGAAAAATGCAATTCAGTTAACTCTCAACAGCAGTGTTTTATTGAGGGAAACTACTGAATATGGTATTTAAAAATACCTCATTGTGATTTTGCTGTATTTCTCAATGTCCTATTGCAGTTTCTTCCAATCCATGTAGATAGATAGATAGATAGATAGATAGATAGATAGATAGATAGATAGATAGATAGATAGATAGATAGATAGATAGATAGATAGATAGATAGATAGAGTAATGGTATTTTAATCAGTCACATTTTAAAATGTATGCATTAAAATTGTTTTTGTGCATTTTATTTCTCCTAAATGCCCTGCAAGCCTCCTGAATTCTTGAAGTGAAGTGCATTTGTTCTGACAGTGAGTCTTGAGAAATGTAAAAATGCTCTTTAACTCTAAACTGTGAAATCAAATGAAATTATTTTAATCCTTAATCTGAAATCCCAATGGCAATTACAGTGGTACCTTGATTTAAGAACTTAATCCGTATTGAAACGGTGGCTGTAAATCAAAACATTCTTAAGTCAAAGCAGCATTTCCCATAGGAATGCATGAAAAACGCTTAATCTGTTCCGGCTGTTTTTTGTCCTTATGTCAAGGCACGATTCTTAAATCAAAGCATTGGTTGCCATAGGAACTAATGCAAAGCTGGTTTATTCGTACTCTACCACTAGGGGAAAAAATTTGCACCAAAACCCAGCAAGCATTCTTTCAGCACAGAACTCCTCATCACAAAAAGAGATCCAGCACTCCTCATCACAAAAAGAGGGCGGGGGGGGGGAGTAAGAGACCTGAGTCTAAGCTGCATTTTAAAGCCTGCTTGCACCAACAATCAGCAAGCATTCTTCCAGCACAGAACTCCTCATCACAAAAAGAGAGCATAGTGCTGCATTTTAGACCCACAGCAGCCCAATAAACCTTTGGAACACCACTTACGATTTAAATTCAGACGAGTGAAATGCATTTTAGACCTCCATCTGCCAGCACAGACCTTTGTAAAAAATTTCCCCTGCAACCTGCAAAAACCCTGTATGTGCAGTACTGTATGTACAGTACTATGTAAAACACTGCAAGTCCCACGCTGGGACTGCAAAAAAACAAAAACATAAACAAATCCAAAAATAAACATTGGAGCAAGTCCCACGCTGGGACTGCAAAAAACAAAAACATAAACAAATCCAAAAA